ATTGTTTAGAGTTGTTTCAACCAAATTAACTGACCATCTTGGCGATAAACATTCTTAAATATCATTTCATAACTTCTTGTATGACTATAGCTTTACTGTCACCATGCATAATCATATCATAGCTTCCACCACCCAACACTGAGATATTATTTTATGTTGTTTATTTTCCTTACTACTTCTTGGTATTTTTTCGCATTTTTTAAAATTATTTTTGTGTTTGTTTTTGTAGTTGTTGCCTTTATATTTATTTTTTTGAAATACTCCTTTTAAATGTTTGTAAAATTAGATGCAAATATTGTAGATATGTGCTGAAAATTCCACACTGTACCACTAGTACTGTTTCTGGAATAAAGCAAATTATTATTATTTGCTCAACACTTATATATCCCGTCTAAGAAGTCATTTATTTTTGTTTTTATTCCTTTGCATTCCCAGAAGAACGAAAGGCTTCAAGCCAGAGGCTTGATGTTTCGGTAGCAGTGTGGTGAGAGCTGGCTGCTAGCCAAAGTTGGTAGACAGTAATTGACGTCAATACTCATGTCCCCAATATTGGTGGTGAGAAAATGAGAATAAAGGCTTTGCGTAGGCGGATACAGTTAGTATATGGATGATCTGACACAGCCACAAAGAGATGCAAGGTTAACTTTCTGTGAGAAACAACCAATCAAAAGACTGTATTTTCTACTAACAATAATCTACAATAATGTACATTAAAATCTTTAAATATGTGTTGATTTTCCTTAATAAACGATCTGTTGCCTGGCTCTTGTCTTCTGTTGTTACAGCAGTGGTATTCATTTTTACGGGATGGGGTTGTTAGCCTCATGCCCATCGTTCCCTCTTTACCAGTCTTATTACTGGCTTAGCGAGGTAAAGGAGTGCGTCAGTGACCGGGGATTGAACCCCAAGACCACCTGAGGAGTGGTTGGCGAGCATTCTACCACCACTGCGCCACCGACGCTAAGCCTGACATTATATAAATTAGCAAATGCTACACGAACTTTTTTGTATCCATTTGTATCACACACGTAGAAAATTGATTTGAAAAATCTATCTCTATCAAAACACTATTGAATATTTCCACGCACAAAGTATCTATCAATTCAACTGCGCTTGTGGAGCGAGTTATGTTGGCCGTTGCTCTAGGAACTTGATTTTTCGTGCTCACTCGAGAACATCTCCCACTATGGCTAAGTAAAGGTGTAGTTAAAACTATTAACAGCTCGATATTGGACCATCTGGTGCAAACCGGTCACAAAGCCAGCCAGCGTGGAAGAATCCTTCTCTATAATATACCGGGTGCCTAACAAACTACCAAAATCGTCGAAGCACCGCATGCTCCAAACAGCAGAGGCTATTGCAATTCGCGTGAAACAACCAGTGCTCTGTGTTCAAAAGAAACAAGTCCAGCCCCTGCTACTGAACTGGCCCTCAGTAGAAACCATAAATTCATGAATTTGTAATATTATCTTTCCTAATTTGTCTATCTGACATTCAGCTTACTGTATGTTGATGCTGTTCAGCTGTAATTTATCAATATTATTGATTTGATGTTATTTAAACATTAATGTCGTTCATAAGACTAATTCATTCATAATGTTCCCTGGCTATTCTTTTGAAAATGTTAATGGGCATTTTTAATCAATTAAAATTTGTTGAAAATTACAGAAATTTTTCTCAAATCACACATATATATCTAAATATATATGTGCATTGTCTGAATGAGAGAAGAAACAAACGTGTATTTTCATCAATTAAATTTCACGACTGATTGCAAAGTAATCAATTAGTAGGCATCTTCTCTTTTGCAATAATAATGAAAAAAGAGAACAAAAATCAGTTTATGGTGTTTTTTGTTTGTTGTAGTTATAATAAAAGAATACAATTTCATCATTGTCTCATCAAAACAGACAATTTGGCATTTTGGTGTGATTACATAGATTAATTTTAACTGAATGTTGTATGCATATATATATATATATATATATATATATATATATGATAGCCATGCATCTTAATATAATATGGTAATGCTGTATGCTGCTGGCTTACCTGACAGTTTTATTATTATCAGACCACCTGATTCACAATCTTTCGATTGCATGCATGAATGCATGCATACATGTCGGCTAGCTATACAACTACTAAATACTTGGACTTCATGAGATTCGCAAAAAGAAAAAATGATGGTACGATAGTTTAGTCTTTTTTTCCCTCCTCATCCTTCTATTATTATCTATCTCATTGAAATGGAATTCACTAATTTATCAACCTTTAAAACTACTAAATATGTTTTTTCTTCAACTATTGGCTTTTGTCGAGATTCAATTTGACTTCATTATGATTTGACATCAGTTAAAGAACCATTGGAAAACCAGTGCTGGAGTACCGGACAACTGGTCGTTTCGTCCCAGTGTGGGACTCTTCAGTGGTACACACCCACCACCATGGTTCGAACCCAGCACAATCTGGTTACAAGGCTCGCGAGCTTGTAGACCATTAACCTGAACTAAACAGCTATCCAGTACTCCCTCGTGGGTTTTCCAGTAGTTCTTTAACTGATGTCAGCTCATAATGAAATCCTCCAGCTAATCAATAAACATCTAAAGAAAAAGACTGGCAAGCTACGAAAACTGGATATGTACTGCAAAAAATAAACAACTGATTGTTAATCTGAAAATCAGGAGAGGTATAATCATTGAAGTTTTTCGAAGCCGGCTGAAATTTGAAGAACGCTCTTTGCTACATTTCTGCGCTTCAGCTTCTCCGAATATCAAAGACTAAACCCCTTTTGTTGGCAACTTTAAAGTGCATTTGCCAATTCACTTGCTCCCGTGGAGTGGAACCAAGCACACTGTAGTAATCCATAAGGATAAATCTTAACTTTGCTGTCAGAAATGTTTTATTCAGCCTCGTCTACTGCCGTGTCAATTTTTGATTTCCTGTATCGTTGCGTTATAAACTCTACATAGGAGTTTTTGTTTTTTAATTTTATTATTGTTACCCATTTTCATTCCTTTATTCGCTTGTTTCGTATCAGTTATTTTCAAATGAAAATCCATTACTGAACTAATTAGTTGTCAAATATTCCGATTACGTAAGATTATCCACAATCTTTCAAAGATTGTTATTGTTCATACACTCTGATCTGCTTTGTTACTAACCGGTAAATAACCTCTGACTTCTGTCGTGTATTAACATTACATATATATTATTATTTCATTATTATTGTTTCCTTTAATTCCTACAGGAACATACGGCTTAAGCCGTGCCTCTTCATTGCGTTCGGTTCTCTGCTAGAGTCTTCACCTGGCTCCAAGTCTGCCCACACGCCTTCATCTCCTCTTCACATGACCTCATCCAAGTCACCCACCCTCGCACTGACGACCAACTCGCAGCTTCCCTTTCGGGTTCCACTCTTTTCTGGCCATCTGATATTGAGTAGTATTGAGCCAAGACAACTGTTAATGAAGGTCTGTAGTTTGTTTGAGATGCTCTTTATGACGCACCAAGTCTTTGATCCGTATAGCAAAAGCTAACCACAACTTATAGTTTCTCGGTTGTCCATTGGTAGAGTGCTTACCACGCATGTGATCCGGAGTTGAATACCCCGGTGATACACTCTTTAATCTTGTACAGTGTACTAGTCAATAGCAAACCCAGTAAAGAGGGAAGGGTGAGCGTGAGGCTAGCAACCTCATCTCATAGAAACAACACCAGCTTACTGAGACTTCACGCCTAAAGCCTGTCAATAGTGTCCTACACATCAATTGTCTTACTGCGAAATTGCTCATCCTCTGAAATAATAGAGAAGATTTGTAGCTCAGGTGGATGATTTGCAATTAATAGTGTTCTCTGAGCTGGTTGATTTAGTTGCAGAGCTTTCGTCGTCCTTCTGGACAACATCCCCTTTCAGCGCAATATTTAGCATAAAGTGAAATGATTTAAATTTCTTCATGAGTGATATAATTGCGTCTCCCGGTAACCATCTTTACATCTTTAGAATTCAAGAACACAAATCAGCCGTGAAAAGACACGATATGTATTCTTTAATATCAATGCATATAGACAATTATGGTCATCAATTTGATTGGGATAATGTCAAAATCTTAGACAGAGGAAACACCAGAAGCGCAGTCAGGGAATTCCTAGAAGCCTGGTACTCAAACGAAAATGCAATTAACAAACACGTTAATATAGACGAAATATACCAACTAATAAAAAGTAAATCAGGTGACCAGAAAGTTTAAAATCCAAGTCAATAGAAAATGTTCAATACATATATAAAGATGGTTACCGGGAGACACATTTATATCACTCATGAAGAAATTTAAATCATTTCACTTTATGCTAAATATTGCGCTGAAGGGGAATGTTGTCCAGAAGGGGACGACGAAAGCCCCGCAACTAAACCAACCAGCTCAGAGAACACTATTAATTGCTCATCCTCTGTATTTTCATATTGTTTTATATGCCTGTCTAGAATCTTATCCTTCATACAAGTCACCGTTCTCATCTGAGATACTTTGAAGTGAGTTACCAGTATATCCTCCATAACAATATCGAAGCTGTTTGTTTTTTCTTCATTTCAAAAACAACATAATATAATCCAAAAAAAACGAATTTAATGCAGAAATGAAAACATAGAAAATATTGGCACAAAGATAAAATTCAATGATACAAAGTCTACATTGGATGCAAGCATTTTCACGAAACAGTAATACCTTGGCAAATTGGCAAAACGCTGAGTATAATTTATCAGCGAACATTATTCATACAAAATGAAAGGAAATTATGCATATAAAATTTCACAAAAGTAATAATATAATAATAATAGTAATAGAATAGAAAGACTTTATATATAAAACAAACAGAGCAAAAAACAAACCCTGAAAGGCAAACAACTGATATACTAAATTCTATTATATATATATATATATATATATGCGAAACTGTTAACTCGATGAAAAACGACGTGTGAGAAATACATTCATTCAATTTTATTTGTTTGCATATTGCTGTATAGTGATCTTCAAATCTGAAAGCTCTTTTTGAATGAGACGCAATCTGAAATAAATCATAAAATGGAAATGTTGATTCAAGTTGACATTAAAGTGATGACCATAAAAAAATCGATAAATAGAATGTACCCCATAATAGTAATATTATTATTATTACTTTATTCTTTTGCCTTGTTAGTAGAATATAACTTTTCAAGAATTGAACTTTGAAGTTGCAGTGGCACTGGTGTTATTCTCTGCTACGGGATGGGGTTGCTAGCCTCACGTCCAACCTCTCCTCCGGTCAAGCGATGCACTAGAAATGCATCGCCTGGGGATCGAACTTAAGAACTCATGCGTGGTTGGTGAGCTTTCCGCCGCTGAACCACCGACACATTATGAGAAGTATATATTTTTTTAGTTTGAATTTTGATTACTTGTAACAAATAAGTAGTATCCTGAGTATGGTGACATCAGAATTTTCTAACAGAAGTATCCTTTAGATTAGAATTTAATTGGTGGATGGGGACTAGCAGCAGAATCCAGGATGCTGATTTCGTCCTATTTAGGACTCGTCATCGTGGTCACTGGGTTTGAGTCTCAGTGGGAACATCATCACTCACTGGGGAATACAGGCACATCCAGATGACGAGTCCCAAATGGGACGAAATGCGCATCCTGGATTCCACTGCTAGTCACCATCCACCAATTAAATTCTAATTACATGCCTAGACATCGTCGATGCATCTGCACAAGAAGCCGACATGTCAACCTGAGACCGAGCACTTTGGTCCAATCAATCGACGGGAAAACCTAAAATTCAATTAAATATCCTTTAGATGGCTAATTTGAACACCTCGGTAATTTTGCATATGATTAGGGAGCTTACAAAAATTACTTAGACGAAGTGAAATGAACCCGTAGAACGAGACACTTTAAAATTAGGAGCAGAAATTCGGTAGTAAAGTAGTTTTATTCCATATACGAAACGTTAAGTAATTTTTTTTCTCTCTTTTGTTCACCTTTTTATACTACCTGGAGTGTGACAGCTTGAAGTGCTGCACTTCTGTGTAAAATCCAATGTTCGAACTCATTCAGCTCAGTCAGTCAAGAGAGTTCAAAAAAGACTAGTGACAATGTATATGAAGAACTCAATCACCCACTTGCATATCGATGATTATCTCATTGCCCCAGAGGAGGAAAGTCTAATATATACGGTATTAATCACTGAGAGGATTACACTAACAAAGACTGTACGTACAGATAAACTAGCCTCATATGCTGTCCAAATTATTGTTATATGTCTATTTTATGAATTTTGAAATTCCAATTTTACATACATGTGTCATTTTTCATTGCATTGCATTGTATAGGTTTTATTCTTAGAATTCCATACATTTACTAACCTAATATTTATTCACCTTATCAGGATAATCGTCCTGTCATTCTCCATTTCGATGGCAATAAACTGAGAGTTGATTGTAAATTATTTATAATATATATTTAATTCAGTAACCGTATACTTATTGAGACGCTAACTAACTGCTTATCGGCAACATAGTCTACCACTTGTATGTTTATTTTGACTTGACACTAGTAACTAGTGTGATGTTTCTAGTCCTCTCTTTGGTACAGACTGAATTCTGTCAGTCAGGTTTGTAATGTGGCCACCATTCTAGGTAGCTCGCCATCACGGTGCACATTGATTTGATGATATTAGATGGTTGGAGGCAATCGGCCAACTAGCACGAAAACTAGGTCCAAGGCTTCCTGCCGATTGCCTCCAACCATCTAATATCATCAAATCAATGTGCACCGTGATGGCGAGCTACCTAGAATGGTGGCCACATTACAAACCTGACTGATAGAATTCAGTCTGCACCAAAGAGAGGACTAGACGCATCACACTAGTTACTAGTGTCAAATCAAAATATCCACTACAGTCCTACAGGAGGTCAATCGCGAGCCCGAATAGCTCAGTGGTAACGTCTCTGACTGCAGTCAGCACTGGTTGACGCGGGTTCGAATCTCAGAAGGGACATGAGTTCCTTCAAGGTTGCAGATACGCCTTGCTGACTGGTGAGTGCCGAACTAGCACGAAGCCTAGGTCCAAGACTTCCTGTGGCCGACTGCCTCCAACCATCTAATATCACTTGTATGTCTAATTAAAATGAGTTTAGACACATTAAATTTTTTGTGTATTAAGTAGATTTCAAGGGCCTGGTCTAACAGTCTTACATGAGACACTATGAAAATATTATTTTTATCATTATATTATTCCTTTACGTTCTGAGTGTAACACAGAGCTTGGGGTTAAAGCTTCAAAGCTTCGGCAGCAGTGGTTTACTATTACGTGTTGGAGTTGCTAGCTTCGTGCCCAACCTTTCTTCTTTATCTGCTTACCAAGGTTTAGGAGTGCATCGGTCTAGAATCGAACCCTGCACCACGTATGTGGTTGCGAGCATTCTGCAGCTGAACCACTGACGTTCATGAAAATATTATACAATCACAGAATTAAATTTATTGAAACAATGGGGAACATTCACTGACGAATCCACTATTGGGATAAAAGAAACGAATAATGTATCTTCAGGACAGTTATTCCACAGTCCGATTAAAAATCCTATGAAACCACTCTACTAATCTTAAACAAGTAGATCATTTCTTCCGCTTCACATTGACTGTTTCTTTTTCGTGTGCTACATTCACAAGCATGTTTTTTACGAGTTGATCGAAGAAAAGGATAGCGTAATAAAGCCTTACACAAAATGAAACATTCGGAGACATTTTGATCCTAATTTGCCACTTGGTTTATTTAATCACAATGATCTAGGAAATAATGAGTAAACGACAGCAAAAATACCTACTACTAAGTTATTGCAAGGGTAGAAACAAAAGACAAATCAGCAGAAAAATTCCTTTAAAAGTGGTTACTTATTTCATTACTGCATTCACGATCACAACTAAGATCTTCCTAATAGATACGATAATCTGGTTTCCGAATATAAATTCATTTGAGAAGTTAGAGAAACCTACTCTTTTCTTCATTCTAAGTTCAATTTTGTATAGACAAAAACGAATACAAGTTGGAAATGTACAAATCTCTACACACACAGTAATAATAATAATAATTTTTACATAAAACGCATGAGTATAGTTCATGGGCCAGAAAAAAGAAGAAAACAAATGACATACTTTCGTTCCTGTTCTTGTTGCTGGAATGGTAAACAAATAAATAAATGAATATAAAATTACTGCACCAGGTAAGTACACGAAAGCAGAAAACACAACTATATGATAAAATAGTGAGAAGTCTTGACCAGTAGGGTCCATCAAGAAGTCGGATATGAGGACGAATACTCGTTGATGACATTGTCTGGAAATTTTAACAGAAGCTAGAGTTCACTAGCCACTGGATTCCACTTGACTGAGTGGTCAGCGACCTTATTCGCGTAAGTTGAAGGTCCCTAAAGAAGCCGCCATGGGTGTTTACTGTTGAAGAGTCTAGGACTGGGAAAAACAGCTGTCCAGTAATCCTTAGTTTCCAGTGGCTCTCTCTTACTGATAGTAATCCGTGACCCTACTTGAGACAAATCAAATTCTTACAAACGGACTCTTGAAAAATCCATTGTAAAACTTGACATTGCATAATTTGTACTGATAACTGAAATCGATAAAATGAAACGTTTACGTGGAAAAAGAAAATGTTTTGAAATGGCGGCGTTTGCTCTTCTTTCTTGTGAAATTAGCAATATTTCACTTTTTAATCGTGCAGAAATAAATAATACGAAGAACAATTAGGCTATTAGTTTTCTCTTATCACTCTGTACCGTATAAATTGCATACACGCAAGACAACAACACAAGCACTGGATTAATTTTTCCAATAGCACAAAACTCATAAGCCTAACAGACATAAAAATACAAGTAGAACAAATTTTGATTTTCTGCCTGTTATTACATACGAGAACATGATAATGATCAGTGAAGTCTTTAACAGTTAGCCTTAGTGCATACAGGTTCACAGAAATCTTCAGGATAATCAAAGATTCCAGATGACATGGATCGAAATACTGCATTAAGATCGAAAATAATAATAATAATATAGACACTTTTAATTGTCTCTCTCTCTAATATTTGGGATTGTCCATTGTAATATCACTCTACCGCTTTCCTTTTATTTTATGCTTCCTTTTGGGGTTGGGAATGACAGGATAATGTGATACACTGTGTGAAAATTTCTTCGGTGATCTGTTACTTACTCACTTTACTTGCCTACGCTTATCACCAGTCCTCTGTGGTTACAAGAAAGTCTGAAATGATTATAATAAATGTATAGGAAGCCATATTCTGTTTGAAGTAGTACAAGATTACTCACGAACGAACGAAAAAAATGGCACCAGTCAATGAAATCTACAACAGTTAGTCTAAGCCACGTAGGAAGGTGTAGACTTCCTGACTGGTTGGGGTCCTTGGGACGATAAAAACCAATGGCTGGAAAAAAATGGTGACATGGCTCGAAATCGTTCTCAATGGCTGGCGCAGATGCACCCACTCCTTGTGATTTTTGATTTCCAATGAAACTGTTTAGTTCTTCGTTATAACTATTCCTTTATCTCACATCCCTGTTTATTATTATTATTGTTCCCTTGGGTTCCTAGTGGAACATACGGCTTCAACTGCACGTCTCCACTTGCTTCTGTCTTCTGCTGTACTTTTCACCTGCATCCATGTTAGTCCATACTGTTTCAACTCCTCTTCACACGATCTCCTCCATGTCACCCTTGCACTGAAGTCCCACTCGCCGCTTCCCTTTCGGGTTCCACTCGAGCGTTGGCCTGACGCGCGATGTCACCCAGTGGCCTCCTCAGCCAGTGAGTGTCCAATCCATCTCCACTTTCTCCTGCATATTTGTTGGGCGATTGGTTCTTGTTTTGTTTGTTCCCATAGTTTCTTGTTGGTGATTCTTTCCGGCCATCTGATCTTCAGTATAGAGCGAAGACAGTTAGTTGTTGATAAAGGTCTGCAACAGGCTGTTGGAAATATTCTTTGTGACCCACCGCCAAGTTTCTGATCCGTATAGAAGAACTGACTTGACGTTTGTATTGAAAATCCGAATTTTGTTGTTGATGCTGAGTTGAGTGACGAAGATTTCCAGATTGGTTTCAGGTTGATGAATGTGTTTCTCGCCTTCCCGATTCTCGCTCGATTTGACATCCTCGTCCGTTCCACCTGCCTGTAGTTGAGACAATGCTCCCTAGATAAGTGAGTGAATGAAGTAACCTCTTTCAAATCCCTCCCGTTGATGGTGATTGGCGCTGGATGTTGCTGCTGTTGTTGTTGTTGTTGGTTGGTTATTTTCATAACCTCCGTCTTGTCTATGTTCACCTGGAGTCAGTCCTGTCTTCTCCAGCTGCTTCTTCGACCAGTTTGTCGGTTTTCGCTTGTAAGTCTTCGATTTTGTGTGACATCAAACATAAATCATCCAAGGGCGAAATCCAGGTCTTCTAGATTCTTCACGTCGGTCCAGGATATCCCTGTCTTCTCGTTTCCCACTGTCTGACGCATAATCCAGTCCACCACAATTAGGAATATCATTGGTGATAATAAGCACCCTTATCTGACTCCTGTGTTTACTCCAAACGCTTCGCTGAGTTTTCCGTTGTGGATCACTTGACATGTGCTGTTGTCGTACAGCTGTTGAATAAGGTTGATGAATATTTGAGGTACGCCATAGTACTTGAGTAGTTTCCAAATTACTTCGCGGTCGACGCTGTCGAAGGCCTTCTCAAAGTCTATAAAGTTGAGGTAGAGGTTTGATTGCCATTCCATGCTTTGTTCGGTGATGATGCGTAGAGTTGCAATTTGGTCAGAACATGATTTGCCTTTGTTGAATCCAGCTTGTTCTGGTCGGAGTTCTGTATCCAGTGCGTCCTTTATTCTCTCCAGGATGATACAATTCAGAATTTTACTTGGCGTCGACAGGAGCTTGATTCCTCGCCAGTTCTTGCAGAGTCCTAGGTCGCCTTTCTTTGGAATTTTCACAAGGTAACATTTCCTCCAGTCAGTAGGCACCTTTCCTTCCTTCTAGACCTTTTGTAATAATGGAGTCAGCATATCCGCTGTCGTTTCTGGGTCCGCTCACATCCCTGTTTACTGTCTCAGTTATGCATTTCTCCACTTTCTTCTCTTGCTTTGTGTGCTACATGGAGTGCGGCGAACTGAACTGCCGCACATGTGTGCAAAGTTCTATGTCGAAAACAGACAGACGGATTACTCACACACCAGTTAGACTATCTTGGAGAGTCTTCTAAGTAGATGTTAAAACGTTTAAACGCATTTTAAAGTTCACAAGGGCCTTTCAAAAAATACAAACAACAAGTAGAGACATCAGGTATCTCTGTTTTAGTAAACTCAGGTGCTAGACGCTAGTTTAAGCGAAATGAAGTAGATTTTCGTCCATTCAATATTGGTGGGACGATGATGATGATTAGATAAGATAACTTAGAAGTCTTAAAACCATTATTATTATTGTTTCCTTTAATTCCTAGAGGAACATAGGGCTTCAGCCGTGCGTCTCCATTGAGTTCGGTTCTCTGCTAGAGTCTTCACCTGGCTCCAAGTCTGCCCACACGTTTTCATCTCCTCTTCACATGACCTCCTCCAAGTCACCCACCCTCACACTGACGACCAACTCGCCGATTCCCATTCATTTGGGTTCCACTCGAGCGATGGCTTGTCTAGTGATATCACTTGATGGTTTGTTTCCTCAGAGTATGGCCAGCCAATCGATCTCCATTTCTTCCTTCTTGTTTGTTTCACAATCGGTTCCTGCTGGGTTGGTTCGCTCATTGCCAGAGATCCCTCTCTGTTGCTGATCTTTTCTGGCCAGCCATCTGATCTTGAGCTAAGTATTGAGCGAAGACAGCTGTTATTGAAGGTCTGTAGTTTGTTTGAGATGCTCTTTATGAAGCGCTGGCCAAGTCTCTGATCCGTATAGTGTGTAGCACTGACTGACTTCACATTGGAGTTGAAAATCCGGATCTTATCTTCGTTTTGATGCTGAGTGCTGTTGACCTCCATACAGACTTGAGAGTAGTGAAAGCTTGTCTTGCTTTTCCGATTCTTGCTTTGATATCCTCGTCAGTTCTGCCTGTAGTTGAGACGATGCTCCCCAGGTAGGTAAAAGCGGTTGTTTCTTTCAGGTTCCTCCTATTTATGCTGATGGTTGTCTTTTAGTGTTGTTCTTGTCCAGGAATCTTCATCACCTCTGTTTTCTCTATGTTCACCTGAAGTCCTATCTTCTCTGGATGCTTCTTCTCCCAACTTGTTGCTTTTCATCACTTGAATATCTTCCAGTTTGTGGGAAATCAGACATATGTTATCGGCGAAGTCCAGCTCCCCCAAGTTGGTTTTTTGTGTGAGTCCATTTTATGCCTGTTTCCTTATTGCCCACTGTTTTTGTAGCATTATCCAATCTACTGCAATCAAGAAAATCATTGGCGATAGTAGGCAGCGAGCCAGCTTGTCTTACTCCTCTCCTCACTTCGAAGGATTCCGTAAGTTTCCCGTTGTGGATTACTTGGCATGCAGCATTGTCGTACAGCTGTTGGATGAGATATAGTCACATTATAATCAATAAGGCATACATAAATGTAAGTGAAACGTTTTGAGTTCTAAACAAAGGATGTTCCGTATATTTGTTTATCTGTTTCATTTAGACAACATCGTGGATAAAAAGAAACATATTACAAAAGAATAATTGTATAAGATGAAATAAATCAACTCACCGCTAATATGCATTCATCCACCATAGAAGAAATTACTGAAACATTTTGTAAGAGAGTGTCGGTGCTAAAAAGTTAATAGAAAAATGGAATTAGTTCTTAAGGAGATGTGACATATAACTATCTAATTTATCCTGTCTCAATGAACCAGTATGAATTATGCCTAGTTTATTGAAAATACTGTAAGTGATATTGGGAATTCTCAAGCAAAAAAGTAGGTACAATTGAGGTGGTTGGTTGTTATAATAATGCGAATAAACAATACAGTGATTCCACTAGTCTGGTTTGGTTAGGCTACACTTAGTTGTTTCAGCGGTACAATGCTCGACAACCATGCACATGGTCCTGGCTTCGATCCACAGCCGAAGCACCCCTAAAACTTGCTAAATCGGTAGTATTGCCGGTAAAGAAGAGGGGAGGTCGGGCGTGAGGCTAGCAACCCCATGCCGTAAAAATAAAACTACCTCTGTTGATCTCTGACGAAATCTCAGCACGGATACAGAGGGCTAGTTTCCCTATATGCCAGTTTACACCGTCTCTGGCTTAGTAGACGTGTTATCCGACTACCGACCAAAGGGCGTGTGTACTACTCATCAGTCAGCTCCATCCTCCTTTATGGCTAACTGTGAAACCTGGCCATTGAGAGTGGAAGACATGAAAACATTAGCTGTCTTCCATCATAGGTGTCTGCGTCCTATCTCCCATGTAAAGTGACATAATAAGGTGAGCAATATTGAGGTTAGGCATCGAGTGCTAGGTAAGGAGGGGAAATCAATAGACGAGACTGTGAAATTACATCGACTGAGATGGTTAGTACATGTGCTACGTATGCCTAGTCTCCATCGCCTTCCTCGACAGGTAATGTTAGCTGATATAGGGTCAGGCTGGAAAAGAGCTAGCGGCGGTCAAACGAAAACATGGCTTCGGTAGTCAATGAAATCCACAACAGTTAGATTAAGCCACGTAGGAAGACGTAGACTGCTGAATGGTTGGGGTCCTCGGAACGGTAAAAACCAATGGTTGGAAACAATTGGTGACATGGCTCAAAATCGTTCTCAATGGCTAGCGCAGATGCATCCACTCCTTGTGACTTATGATTTCCAATGAAACTGTTTTGTTCTTCGTTATTACTATTCCTTTGTCTCACACCTCTGTTTACTGTCTCTAATATGCATTTCTCCTACTCTCTTCTCTTGCTTTGTGTGCTACATATAGTGTGGCGACTTGAACTGTCGCACATATGTGCAAAGTTCTATGTCGAAAACAGACAGACAGACCTCTGTTGAAACTTCAAAGCTCTAGCTTGAAGCCCTATGTCCCAGTAGGAACGTAAAGGAATAAAATAAAAATTATTCACCGTGGTGTACACCTATCCACTTCTTGTCATCTTTCCTATTTTAAAAGTGTTTACTTATCTTGTCTGAATTATTCTTTTCAAAGGAAACAGGTTCACCTACCATTATACAATTCTGTTTTCGCTTTATGTGCTTTGTCGAATCGCCGTCACTTGAACTCTTGAATTTTTGTTCTAAGCTCCGTTTTGATGACAAGTCATTCAGTCAGAAAGTCTCTAATTCTTATTATGTGCAGAATGATAAGGTGAAATCCTCGGGATAGTAGTTTTTCATTTTAAATGTTACCGACCTATTTGTTCTTTACCTTCTTTGAAATTCGGAACATTTTTACTACTGTGTTAAACTATAATCTCTCTCTCTCTCTGTCTCTTCACTTTGAGACTCATTGGCAGGACACACTCCCCGGGTTTCGACCTTCCGGTTACAAGGTAAGCTGACAGACCATTTAGCCCCAGGGAACCGATTCAATGACCCTTGAATTCTAACTTTTTAAAATCACCAATTGGTAGGTTGATGAGTCCCAAACTAGGACAAAACAGTGGTCCAGTACTCTCTGCAACTGATATGAATCCGTGGCCAAAATTGAAACAAATCAAATCCCTACAAAAAAAACTCTTGAAAACATACTCTTACTCTCGCTCTCTCTCTCTCCGAAATGAAGTTATCCATTATAGTGTCACGACACTTCGGTTGGTTCTCTACTTTTATATACAGTATATATATTCAATTTTATTGACGCATATATGTAAGAGATTCTGCTTTGTTTCGTGTAACTGTTTATTACAATAATAATTGTGTTAAAACAACCACATCAGAAACTGTAGAATTTATCTCCTCCGAAAAAACAGTTCACACATTATGAATACCGTATACTGTGTATATATATTTAATATATTTATTATCAACAATGTCGGCGTATAAGTTAAGAGAATAAGAATTCTTTGTACTAATTTAATTATCGCACAAAATTACGTCAGAATGGAATTGGTGTCAAGAGAGAGAAAAAAGTCATTTTGAAATAAGTGAAAAAGATGAACACAAACAATCAGACAGAATGAGAGAGAGCGCTCGCGCACGCGAGAAAAGTGTTCGCATTAAATCGATCAAAGCTTAAAACTATTTTTTTACTGAGAAAACGATTGAAATTAATACTTATTTTTTGATGGTTAAATGTTTGTTTTTTCCCCTAGCTGTCTGTGTTGATTGATTGCGTCAATACAATACAATAACTGAATTTGAATACTGAATTACATGTGAGCCAATGTATAAAATTCAGTACTAATATGATACCACACATATATATATATGTGTAATATACAAATATTTTAATACAATATCATATCAATATGATATGAAGATGAACTAATTCAATTATTAAAATTTTATTTACTAATTTATATTTTGAAACCTGCTTAGGCTAATGTAAATAAGACAACTTGTTAGAAAAGTACGACACGTTTTGGAAAATTCCATTATGGGTGAATTTTGTTTTGATAAAGTCTCACAGTGTTGTTATACAGTAATGTTTACTGATGACACGTTTCGAGCACAATTTATTGCCACTCATAATCCTATCTAGGTGATCACATGACTTCCTAAATTCATTTATATAGTTCCGTTGTTTTTCACTTGATTTGATTGGTAGTAGTATTTTCCATATTTCGGGTATGAGTGATGAATCATTCCTATTGCATGTGTTGGGTGTAGATTCGATGAACAAAGATTCAGTAATCAATCTCTCTCTCCACCTACCTAAATTACTTAGACAGACAGAAAATGCAAACAAGCATCATCATTTATCCATGTCTTTCATCATTCTTAGAAATTTGTATAGTTGAACACCCCCAGACGACTACAGTGAAACCAGACAGTGAGCTTCTCTTTACATTAGAAGAGAAAGTGTGGAGTGGCTAGAGGAAACTTTGAAGAGAATAGATGATGAGGATGAGAATTCTGTAGCCTCATTCCTATCAAGTACAAAAGAAATTTAGTAAAGACCCTCCGCCACAGAGTTAGAGCTATATGCTTAGAAGAAGTAATTGAAGATGAATTAAGCATTGTATATGATACTTTGATCGAAAATAGTTATCCCGAAAAATTTACTGATCAAGAAACATATGACAAATAAAGTGGCGGAAAAGGACTACTCACTATCTGTAAACAAGAAGCCTTTATATACGACTACAATTCAAGGGCGATTCACCAAGTGAGATAATTACGAGGAAATTAAGAAAATCAGTTCAAAGAACTTTTAATGCTGGTGAACTACACGTATTATTCTCTACACGAACGATGGTGCTACCTCAACTGAAAGATGAAGTACCTAGACTAGCTAGCCACTTCAAATTGTATCTGCCAATTCAACTGCGCTTGTGGAGCCAGTTATATTGACCGTTGCTCTGAAAGCTTGATTTTTTCGTGCTTGAGAACATCTCCCATTATGGCTAAGTAAAGGTGTAGTGAAAACCATTTACAGTGCGATATTGGACCATCTGGTGCAAACCGGCCACAAAGCCAGCCAGCATTGAAGAATCCTTCTCTATAATCTACCAAGTGCCTAACAAACTACCAAAATCGTCGAAGAACCGCATGCTCCAAACACCAGAGGCTATTGCAATTCGCCTCAAACAACCAGTGCTCTGTGTTCAAAAGAAACAAGTCCAGCCAGCCACTACTACTGCCCTGGCCGGCCTTCAGTAGAGACTAGAAATTCATGAATTTGTACTATTATCTTTCATAATTCTTCTGACATTCAGCTTATTTTATGTTGATGCTATTGAGCTGTAATCTATCAATATTATTGATTCGATGTTATTTAAACAACATTAATGTTGTTCATAACACTAATTCATTCATTCACTATAATGTATATATAACTGTAGAGCCTGATGATGAATTTATCGAAAAGAGTACTCTTTGTTCAGTGTCTATTCTTTTGAAAAGATTGTGTTGGTGATTGGTATCTTTTATCTCAACACATTATCAAAGTTGATATCCTCTTTCTGTGTTTGATATAAAAAAGTACACTCCAGTGTACTCATAGGGGCCATTTGAAAATCCTAACCACAGACTGCAAACCGTTGAAGGATAAGTTTACAATCTTTTTCAGCGGGACTGTGTTATGCAATATATAGCTAGTCCATCATAAATCATAGTTGGTGTACAATGACCTCATTGTACTACTATGTAATTTTTTAAAGAGCCGATGTACTAGATAGAACTAATGTGACTTGTTCGGTGAATTCTAAACATAATTTCTAGATTGGTTACAGGAGAGAAGAAGATCTGTCACATCTGATTAAAAATTTTGTATTCCTAATTAAAAAATGAAGTAACAAAAACTTACTGTGTGGGTTCATAGCATCCAGCCGGTTCTACATTGCTCTAAAATTACAAAAAGAGATGAAAAGATATAGATATAATAGAGAAGATTTGTAACTCAGGTGGATGATTTTGATATGGTTGTGTTCTCTGAGCTGGATAGTTAATTTGCGAAGCTTTCATCGCCTTACTAGGCGACATCTTCAGCGCACACTTCAATTTGAAGTGAGCTTTTAGATTTCTCCACGAGTTTATTAATCATCTCTCCTGGTGACCTTGGACGTGACTGATTGTTTTTGTGCGTTTTCACACCTTCTAGGTTATTTGTATTGGAACTGATTGTTTCTCTGACTTGAACTTTGACCCTTTGTGTGTGTGAGGTTTCTTTCTTATCAAACCAAAAGCCCCCAAGGAAAGCACAAAGAAAATCGCCCTACCAAATATAAAGGACATCTCAGAAATCACTACAAGACTCTTCAAACCTTTAGGAATTGACGTCGTACACAAACCAACAAAGTCACTTCACTCAGTTGTATGTCAACCAAAAGACTCAACAGCGAAGGAAGATAAAACCAAAATCATCTACAAAATAGATTGTATCAACTGCGAAAAACACTACATTAGCCAAAGTGGACGTCCCATTCGTCTTCGTATCCACAAACATAAGCTAGCTGTCAAAAGACATGATATCCACTCCCTCATATCACTACATACAGACAACCACGGACATCAATTCGACTGGGACAACATTCAAATATTAGGCAGATGAAACAACAAGAATGCCAGAGAATTTTTAGAAGCCTGGTATTCCAGTGAATCATCAATCAATAGACACATCGAGATAGACAAAATTTATCAACCGATAAGAAAGAAACCTCACACACACAAAGGGTCAAAGTTCAAGTCAAAGAAACAATCAGTTCCAATACAAATAACCTAGAAGGTGTGAAAACGCACAAAAACAATCAATCACGTCCAAGGTCACCAGGAGAGATGATTAATAAACTCGTGGAGAAATCTAAAAGCTCACTTCAAATTGAAGTGTGCGCTGAAGATGTCGCCTAGTAAGGCGATGAAAGCTTCGCAAATTAACTATCCAGCTCAGAGAACACAACCATATCAAAAAGATGAAAAGATATATTCAAAAAATATATTTTATCACCCAAATACTTAAATTTAGTATAAAATATGACAGAAACATCTCATACACAACAGCATTACTTACATAAGATGAAGTATCACGCACTGGAGATCGACTGAGAGTGTTGCGCAGGGATTCAATAATTAAACTTGGTATATCATCTAGATCGGTTGGCATACATATATCTGATTTCAATTCCACATCGTTTGAAGGTAAACAGTTTTGATCAGACGATTTCTCCTTTGAGACCTATACAGAAAGTGTTTAAAAAAAGGACATCTAAGTAATAGAAATTCAGATACTTCGAAAAGCAATTTGTAAATCTTGAAATTAAGTAAAGAAATGCTTAAATTTATCCGTTTATGGCAATGAATATCATGTATTTATATTATTATTATTTTATTTCATTCCTTTGTGTCCCGAGTGGTATACAGTTAGTTTAAGCCACGTAAGAAGGTGTAGACTTCCTGACTGGTTGGGGTCCTCGGGACGGTAAAAACCAATGAAGGCTGGAAACAATTGGTGACATGGCTTGCTCAAAATCGTTCTCAATGGCTGGCGAAGATGCATCCACTCCTTGTGACTTATGATTTCCAATGAAACTGTTTTGTTCTTCGTTATTACTATACCTTTGTCTCACACCTCTGTTTACTGTCTCTAATATGCATTCCTCCTACTTTCTTCTCTTGCTTTGTGTGCTACAAGGTGGGAGTGTGGCGACTTGAACTGGCGCACATATGTGCAAAGTTCTATGTCGAAAACAAACAGACAGGCAGTGGTATACAGGGTTTCCAGCTGGAACGTTGAATTTCCAGTAGCAGTGGTTTTATTTTTACCGGGTGAGGTCTCTAGCCTCACGCCCAATCATCCCTCTTAAACGGACTTAGTGCCGTGTAAACTGGTTTCAGCAGTGTGCCAGTTGGGGCTCGAACCCTGGACCAAGTGCATGGTTGACGAGTATTCTACCGATGAACCACCCACCGCCACACACACAGTCAAGAATCTGGTCATGGAAAAGAGAATTCATTTTACAATTATCAGTTGATACGTCGTACACAAACAATAAAGTTCTTAAAGTTCTAGAGAGGTAAGTAAACACGTATGTCTAACCCAAAAATGGAGTGGTAAATGGTGAAACAAAATACTGAATACTGCTTACAAAAATGAAGTAAAAATAAAGAAGATGGATCAGCAAAGAATATGAATGAGAAACACATACTAAGATAGTTAATTCTTTCCTTTTTTAACTTGGAAGTAAAAGGGAAGCGTAACTTTGCAGACACCATATACTACTAACTGAGTAGTTGGAGACCATCCACATCAAACATCAGTGCTAGCCAGGCAAATGAAAGTGATTTGAAGAGTGAAAGACTATCCCAGATCATTCGCGACCGAGATCATCGACAGTATATCCATTTCGAGTCAGTTCCAGGAGCTGAATCAGTTGAAAACAACTCGAATTCCTGCCAGCTACTTTGGTGAACTGGTAACACATATATCATTTTGATCTGATTAGCAAGCACTACTGCTCCATGTCAGTGGTTTGCAACTACTCACATCAAGTAATCTTCGCAGTTGAGTGGCGTTCAAGATCTATCAACGATGAGGCTGCTACTCGGGACGCTGCAGGGAGGTCGGGAGAAGCAGCATATGAAAGTGTGAGGCGAAATACCTATGAATGTGCGACAGGGTCAGGCAAACAGTTTCCAAAGTGGGAAGGACCACATATGGTCATGTTGAGATGGGGTTACGCAGACACAATCGCAATGGTAAACACAGAGAAACAGGTGAACATCCACAAGCGCCGAGATTCCAGACAGCAAGACAAAAGATCACAGCCCCAAGAACCAAGAAGACCGAACCAACTTCAGTAGCAAGTCTTTCACGGGGGAACGAGTGTGTTGAGAGCTGTCTACTAGCCAAATTGGCAGACAGTAATTTACGTCAATGTTTATGTCCCCTATATTGGTGGTGAGAAAATGAGAACAAAGGCTTTGCGTAGGCGGATACAGTTAGCATATGGATGATCTGACACAGCCACTAAGAGATGCAAGGTGAACTTTCTGTGAGAAACAACCAATCAAAAGACTGTATTTTCTACTAACAATAATCTACAATAATGTATATTAAAATCTATAAATATGTGTTGATTTTCCTTAATAAACGATCTGTTGCCTGGCCTTGTCTTCTGTTGTTACAGTAGTAGTACATAGCATCAGGCTATTTCTTTTGCTTTCATCATTGCTACTTATGGCGTCAACCAGATCACATATTTTGATTTGAATATTTCTCGTTTGAAAAGAAAACTGTGGCCATTTTTTTTACTTCGAAATGTGCAGTTTGCAAGTGAGGAGTTTGACAAACGTACAGACTATGTAAAGGAATATAGATTAAAGATACAAAATCAATAGCTACAAAAAAAACTAATTATAGGAAGTACCTTTAAAGAAGCTCGCATCTTTGGAAAAGTAATTTAGAAAACTGAAACTGAAGAATAATCCTCACTGAATATGGTTAGGTTCGGTTCAGTTTCTACCAATACATGCAGAATTTTCTAGATTTTCAAGCATCTTTGCTTTTATTTGTGGGGTAAATGTAGAAGCTATTGTCAAGCTTTGCGACTATACTTATACCACCTTACAGAGAAAATAACAATACCGAAAGCATGCAGCTGAACTACAAATATCCTCCATTACTTCAAAGACGTCCTAAGCAATAGCTGCAGTCTAGTTATAGCATGCACATAACAGAGAATAAAACTCGAAAGAGACGATTTGACTGAAGATACTTTCAAATAAAGTAAAGGCAACTTTATTCAATTCCAATAACATAAGGACTATGTTTAAAACATTTAAGATTTTATAAGTACAAAATTTTAAGAAAAATAAAGCAGGTTATAACCTAATCAATTTAGCTCAATAACTTACGAGTTCATCATGCGTTAATCCTGTGTTTTTATTACATGTCTGATCGACTGATTGAAGAATAGGGATTGGAACAAGTTCGATTCGTTTTGCTTTCTTTATATTTTTACCAAGATGTTTCGGTGGAGTTAACCCAAACAAACTTGGAGCACTTGATGAATTGTTGCTAGGACTAGCAACAGTGTGATGATCATCGGCTAAACAAATTTCCTCCAGTTCAATATGCGGACTCAGTTTAGTTAATGGTGGTGGCTTTGTATTGTTAGATTCAATGCATAATCGTTTAACAGGTTCATATGCCTTGGATGGTTCCCAGGAGGAAGAAATTATATCCTCATCACTTGTATACACATTTCCACCATCTGGATCCACAATTTCAACATCGAAATCTTGATCACTAGAAAAATAAATTATGAAGCATAAGGTTTTCACTTCAAGTGAACCTGAATTAAGGAGTATTTATAAACAAGCGAAACACTTTTAAATAAATAAATAAAGAATAAATAAAAATAAAATTTTCAAGTATTGGTTTTGTAGGAATTTTGTTTGATTGGTTGGAGGATTTCATCATGAGCTGACATCAGTTAGAGAAGCATTGGAAAACCCACCTGGGAGTACTGGACAGCAGTTTCGTCCTAGTTAATGGTCTACAAGCTCGCTAGCCTTGTAACCAGAAGGTCCTGGGTTCGAACCATGACGGTGGGTGCGTACTGATGAAGAGTCCCACACTAGGACGAAACAGCCAGTTGTCCGGTACTCCAGCACTGGTTTTCCAGTGGTTCTCTAAGTGATCACAGCTCATGATGGAATCCTCTAAACAAATAAAAATATAAATATCTTGGTTTTCTGTTAGTTTCACTTAAATCAAAATTTATATGCTGATCAAGGCTGACCATAAGAAATGTTACGAGAAACAACTAAATATATACGATATCTTATTGATTGTTGTTTATCACAATGAGTGTTACGATTATTAATCCATTATAACAATGAATGAAAGATTTAAAGGTATTTTCTGACAGTTCATAAACTGTAAATGTATAAATGGTTAATAGTATCAGTGATCAGTTAATACTAACTTAGATACACGATTAGCGATGTAAAGAAGAGACAGCTGTTGATAAATCTCTAATCTATGCTTATCTACATGTCTAAATAACATTACATATAAATAATTTTGGTTACTTCATGAAGCTTCACTTTTACAAACATACAGACGTGCTGTTCTATAACTTGCGAAAACATATTTTTACCTTAGTGCACATCAGTATGCCATGAGTAATTATTACCAGAAGGACTTCTCATTTTACCTATAATGTTAGTATTCTGAAATGTGATTTTGATATTATAAATTCCCCATAAATCTCTCCCTGTCTATGGCTTTTCAGATTAGACATTCATCTTATTCAAATCTACCAACCAGGAACCGATTGTGAAACAAATAGGCAGGAAGAAATGGAGATGGATTGGCTGGCCATACTCTGAGTAAACCATCAAGTGACATCACTAGACAAGCCATTGCTCGAGTGGAACCCAACTGAATGGGAAGTGGAGAGTTAGTCGTCAATGCAAGGGTGAGGGTGACTTGGAGGAGGTGATGTGAAGAGGAGATCAAAACGTGTGGGCAGACTTGTAGCCAGGTGAAGATTCTAGCAGAGAACCGAAAGCAATGGAGACGCACGGCTGAAGTCCTATGTTCCTCTAGGAATTAAAGGAAACAATAATAATAATCATATAGATTGTCGACTGACAGCCGGTGCATTGACGTGTTGGCCAGGATTGTGTATTACAATTACCCAGCAAACTATACTGACTGACGTGAACATTCGTACAGGTCCTGCTGTGTCACTAAAGTCGGTTGGATACTGAATTGAATAGAGTGATTGCAGTTGCCATCACAAGGTAATATGCATACTTTATGTTCGCGGTTGGCGGATGAAGTCATGATACTGACAGGCGAACACTAAGCCAGCTATGCTATTTTCTCATTCAGAACAGTCGGAGTGGGAACTGAAAAAGATCGACTTCGAAAGTTGTACACTCTCGCTTGCTATATAGAGGTCCGCATCTGACACTAAGGCCTTTTACGTAAACGGACGGAATTCCGAAAATATCACCTTAAGACTGATTGTATGTAAACTCTCTCAAGTATATATTCCCGGGACTCTTCTTTCAGTTAATTCAAGAAGAAGTTAACTTCAGTCGTATGGGAAGCTTGAAAACACTGACTTCATCATATACACAACTACAAATACGCAACAGGGTTTTTGTACATCAGTGACTTTCTACAACATGGTTTTGTTTTATTAGCACCAATAATAAAACATCTAAATAATTAGTTCAACTTCTCTTAATTCGGTGACCATTACTAGAGAACTAAGCCAGAGAAACACTGTTTATATTCGTTTAAAACCAGGTAGCCAACTTTATACAGAATCTTTTAAATCGGACAATAAGCCTCACCAACCAAAAATTTGACAGCTGCGTCTCTGGTTGTAGGTTGTATCTCAGAGAGGCAGAAAAGACCTAAATAAGCCTACTCACTCATTACCATATGACCAACATGCTGAAACTACAGAATTTCCCCTATAGGTGTGTTAGGAGACTCTTTGGATAGTTCTCGTGTAGGGAAGACCCTAAACTCTATAGAAGAAAACTCACTGTTTGACTTGTTTCCAACGATCAGAAGGGGTCTAGTTTGCTACTAAAAGCAAAAATGTCTGGATATGATCATATTAGGAGGAATTATTAATTCCTCGAGGTAAAAAGGGAAACCACTTTGAACTAACTGTTGGTCAGCAGTAGATGACTGTCTCAATAGAGTTATAAAAGACGATCACCATTGTCGTTATATCAGCAAGGACCTACATAAATAGCCCTGATATGTTTTCAAAAAGTAAGGAAAGACACTAACTCACCTCGGGACTTCCAACATCAAGGTAACTACGGAAACAAATAGACAAGCAAGATATAAATCATCGATAACAAGAGTCGGTGAAAGATTACTACTGTTTCAGAAATGTCTGCCTTTCAATCCAATGATGCATTAGTTCATTCACATGCCTACCTAAGGCTTAGTAAATGTAGGAAACAAACATTTGTGAAACTTTTGTAGGGAATTTTTTAATCTGCATCACCCTTTCGGTCACGGTGATGTTAGGCTGTTGTGCATCAAACGACGTGTTTACAGTGTCGCAGTTTGCTCAGGATGCCATGAATCATTGCTTTGAGAATTTTGATGAAGTTGTTCCAAATCGTTCTCATTTGAATTCTGAAAAGTCCCATTAACCTTAGTTTAATCGTTTTTCCTCCTGAACAGTTCCACGTATTGTCGTTTTAATATATTATTCTTCTTCTCTACTTTAATATGTACTTTTCTGAAGTGTGACGACTTGAACTAATGGACTCCTATACAACATTTTATATTGATAAGTCACTTAATCTCAATGTCGATTACAATACTGAATTCACTATCAACTTGAATGAATTCCTCCAGTCGCATCAACCAAATCTCAATTCTCCACATAGGGACAGTGTAGCCTAGTTAATTTTCATTGGCAATTTAATAGTGACAATGGAAACTTTATGCAAGTGATTTACGAATGTTGGGATAGAAAGAAAATACAAGATGAGAGAGAATAAAGTACAAGTTAAGTGATGCGTAAGATTACTGTTACAAAGCTGTATAGTTACCTAATATTCAAAGGTAAGATAAGTCATTACTATGAATGTTGTCTAAACAGAACTACATTAGTGTTTAAAAACTGTAATGAAGTGGAATTCAAACCAGGTTTATCACTCACCATACTATATATATATATATATATATATATATATATATATATATATATATTATATATATATATAATACTCAGCATGAGCAAAACCTCTCAAGTGTGAACATCGAATTTAAATGGTTAATTAAATGAAATGAATGATACCATTATGCTTTAAAAAATATGAAGGATAAAATGAGTTCTACAAAAATACTCATCTTAAAATATGAATTACAAACCTGTCAACTGGCATTGGTTGGGATACAGTCGCAACATTAACTGCTTGTTTGACGGTTGGAACATACTTCGATGTAGGTTTGAGTACTAAATGACAGAATGATGAAAAGTAAAGTAGAAGTTAAAGTAGATTGTTCAAGTATTGCTTTGTGTAAGGATTTGACTGATTGGTTACAGGATTTCATCATAAGCTGACATCAGTTAGAGAACCATTGGAAAACAAACACGGAGTACTACTGGACAGCCAGCTACTTCGTCCTACTTTGGGGTTCTTCACCTGTACCTACGACCTTCTGGTTACAAGGCTGGAGAGCTCATAGACCATTAAGCCACTGGGACCCGATCCAATGCGCAACTCATGAATTCCAACTTCTGCCAATTCGCGACATAGCGTGACCACTAGCCAATGTCTTCAGTGAGTATTTGTCCGACCTGCGGCACCCTACTGGTCACGGCTTCCCACTAGAACCCCAGGTAACTACCTACCTGAATAGGGCCAATCTCTAGTGAGGATCTCATTGATTTTCAAGTATTAGTTTGTAGGGATTTGATTGATTGGTTATAGGATTCCGTTATGAGCTGACATTGGTTATATTGTATTGTAAATTGATATATATATATTATATACCTAAAAAATTTCCCCTAAGGTCTTTCAGTGTAGAAATTTGAAAAGAAATAAAGATCAGTCGATAGAAATGTGAAATTCTAAAGATTTATCCACATTTTAGTGCTCTTGTCAATTTTGGAAAGTGAATTTTTTTTATTCGGATACATTTAGTGGTTGTGAATAAACGGTCTTTTACAAAAATAATCACAATTCTCTAATTGTTCAAAATCTCAGCTTATATACAATAACTTAATCATCGTTCTTCACCATGAGGCAATTTTTACTTTGTCAATTTGGTCGATTGGTGAATATAATAAAACTAACATTAAACATGGTCGAAAACATATTCCGAAGACATGGACCTCAACAGTTATCCTTCCATATAGATCAGAGACGTTAGACGATATCAGAAGAATACTCAATCAGCTCGACATCAGAGTTTTCTTCAAAACATCAGACACATTGCGAAGCAACCTTGTCCATATAAAAGACCAAATCCCTAAGGATTCTCAATCTAATTGTATCTACAAAATAAAATGTTTCGAATGTGATGCAATACACATCGGACAAACATCACGAGAAATCAAAATCAGAAGAAATGAACATCGTACAGCATCTGTTCGACCACCGAGAAACCCAGTTGAATTAGAAAAAGTTTGACAAATCATCAACCATAGGTCTACACACTATAGAATCAGGTCACAAAATTGATTTTGACAATACTGAAATAATCCAGAGAAATTTCAGAAATCACAAAGAACGTCTAACATCATCAGAAGCACTTCATATTAAGTGGAATCCAAATTGTCTGAATAGGAATGATGGACTAAAACAGAATTTGACCTGGTTACAACACCTCCCTCCCCCATGAAGTGACAAAATCAACACGAATGTGATAAGCAATTTCATTATGTAAACATTTATCAAATCCAAGAATCTACACCTGGTTTTGTTATCTTTATTAATTGGCCAATTTGACAACGCAAAATATTACGCCATGCTAATGAATGATGATTAAATTTGTTACATATGAGCTCAGATTTTGTAAATTCTGGTTTAATATTACTACTTTGATAAAGCTATTATCAGTATTAAATAGCGAAACTTCAGTAAAAACAATATCGTTTTGTTTTTCATTCATTGGGAAATACAAAAACGTTTATCATAATAAATTTGTCGGTAATATATGTCTGATTTCACAGAAACTGGAAGATATGCAAGCGAAAAGCAACAAGTTGGCAGAAGAAGCATCAACGATAGGACTTGAGGTGAACATAGCGAAAACAGAGGTGATGACGATTTCTGGCCAACAGCAACCATAACAGACAAAAATTAGCATAAATGGGAGAAATCTGAAAGAAGCGACCTCCTTTACCTACCTACATGGGATGTATAGTTTCAACTGATGAAGATATCATAGCAGCGAGGATCGAGAAAGCAATGCAAGCTTCCATCACTCTCAAGTCAGTGGACATCAAGAGCACTCAGCATGAAAAAATAAGATCTGGATTTTCAACTCCAGTGTGAAGTGAGTGCTGCCTACTATACAGATCAGAACCCGAATGGGAAGCGGCGAGTTGGTCGTCAGTGCGAGAATGGGAGGACATGAAGGAGGTGATGTGAAGAGGAGATGAAAGCATGTGGGCAGATGTCGAGCTAGGCGAGAACATTTCCGGAGAACCGAACGCAATGGAGACGTGTGGCTGAAGCCCTATGTTCCTCTGAGAACTAAAGGAACCAATAATAATAACATAACAATAATATTCTAAAACCCCCTTTACTCAGTGTATTAGGACAATGAGAAACTGTGTGCCACTGGTCAAAGTAATTTACATCATGTACATATACACATGCAGATATACGTAAAAATAAGTAATATGAAAATTCTAGTAGTCTGCTTAAGTCATTAGGCTACTGAATATTTTTCTATTCATCAAAATGTATCATATCTACTGCATTTCAGATTATTTTAACCATCCAAATACGTTCATAAACCGTAACTTACTCTCAAGAGCATTTTCAAAAGCATTCCGACCTACTGATAAGAATTATTTGAAGGAAATTTGAAGGATAACTTCTCAGAGTAATGCAACATGCTTTGGATGGAACAATATCGCTTTAAGTGGTGCATTATCGACTATTCTATTACTTGAAAATATTGTAGCACAAGAAGTAAATAACTTGCAATTGAAAAGCTGAAAATTCTCTACTCCATATAAGACGAACTTTTCGGAATAAAGCTGTTGTTATTATTAGTATGATTAAGAGCATTCTAAATAGATATTTTATATCATTCTGTACCCCGTCCCTTCTTTGTAGGCCTTCTTTCTGGTTCATTCTACTAAGTGTAACTTAGATGACAAAAAAAGTCAAAATCTTGGCATACAGGCAATCCCCTAATTATTATTATTATTATTATTATTATTAATATCTAGAATCATGAACTGGCATGTATTACTATATATTGTTCTATCTTGGCCATGTAGCCTACCTACTACACTGAAATAAGTGTCTTCACTTTACAGAAATTTAATTCTAGCAGTAGTTAGAAGAGAGATCTGAAACGAAGTTACACCTACATTTAAGAATTTAACAAAAAAATCTGTGACCGGATTTTGATCATGAGCTGACATTAGTTAGAGAACCATTGGAAAACCTGGGAGTACTGGACAGCTGTTTCGTCCTAGTTCGGGACTCTTCACAGTACGCACCATCGGACAAACATCTTGAGAAATCAAAATCAGAAGAAATAAACATCGTAGAGCATCTGTTTGACCACCGAGAAATCCAGTTGAACTAGAAAAGCTTGAAAAATCATCAGCCATAGGTCGCGCTGTCATGAATTGGCAGAGGTTAGAATTCATGGGCCTTTGGATTGGGTCCCAATGTCTTAGTGGTCTACCAGCTCACTAGCCTTGTAACCAGAAGGTGCTGGGTTCGAATCCCGGTGGGTGCGTACTGATGAAGAGTCCCAAGCTAGGACGAAACAGCTGTCCAGTACTCCCCGGTGGGTTTTCCAATGGTTCTCTAACTGATGTCAGCTCATGATGAAATCCTGTAACCAATCAAATCCCTACAAACCAACAATTGAAAAAAATCTGTCTAGATAATTGATACAAAAAAACTAAACAACAATAATAGACATTTTAGGCAATAAAGACTGACTAACTTTTCTGATATTCATTTTTATTTCTTGATTTTTGCGGTTGACTTTTAGTTTTATTGGTTTTCTTAGCTTGTTTCCCACCATTTTTATTGACTTTGCCTAACTGACATGCTTTATTGAATCGTTCTTTCTCTCTTTCAAATCTTTCTGAACGTGTAGTAGTAAAGAATTTTCTTTTTTTCAGTGCAGAAACTGGTTTGACAGATTTCTGACTACATATTGGTGTTTTCATATCATTTTGAGAGTCTGGAACTGGTGAATCAGGTTTGAGTGAAGCTGGAGGTGAAACAACAACAGTAGGTAACTTTGGAGAGTCTACTTCTACCTGGATGTCAAGTGGCAAGTTGCTTTCTTCTTCTTCTTTATTCATTAATCTTGCACTTCTTCTTCTCTCAGTAAGATTTGATTCTTCAAGCCGAACACGTAGTGGTTGATAATCTGAATCGGATGTATCACTTGATTCCAAAGATGATTCGAGTATAGTTTTTTTACTCGGCTTAGTGAATTTTTTGTGGAGACTGTCATTAACTTTTGATTTCTCTTCAAAAAAAATACATTGAAAACAAAATAAAGTGATTGCATTAAAATGAAAGTTAAGACATTTAAATAACGTATTCGGGTATTGAATGTGCGTCGGTGGCATAGCGGTAGAATTTTCGCCTCAGGAGGTTCGATTCCCAGCCGATGCACTCCTTTACCTCGCTAAGCCAGTAGTAAGACTGGTAAAGAGGGAACGATGGGCATGAGGCCAGCAACCCTATCCCATAAATATAAATACCACTGCTACCGAAACTTCAAGCCTCTAGCTTGAAGCCTCATGTTCCACTGGGAACATAAAGGAATAAAAAATATTTGGAATTTACTAGCAGTGGGATTCATTAGTAGGCGTCCCGTGCTATTTAGAAATCGCCAACTGCATTCACTTCCATCATACTGAATGTTTGATTCTGTATACCCAGGAAAGAAAATGATACTTGTTGATGCATACCAAAACAACCTAAAAGATAAGGACTTGTAATAACAGAGATAAAGACACTTTGAAACTGTTCATTACAATCTATATTAATAGTTTAAAAGATGTGATTGTAACTACTACTAAATATATACGTACACATTTTCAAGTATTGGATTTTGTAGGGATTTTGTTTGATTGGTTGGAGGATATCATCATGAGCTGAATCAGTTAAGAACCATTTGATCGGATCCCAGGGGCTTAATGGTCTTCAAGCTCGCTAGCCTTGTAACCGGAAGGTCTAGGTTTGAACCCCGGTGGGTGTGAAGTGCTAAAGTGCCCCAAACTAGTGTGACGAAACAGCTGTCCAGTACTCCCAGGTGGGTTGATGCTAATACGGTATTTAAATTTATTAATCGCCTTCTTACTAATCTTAATTTCGCTTTACTAGTTTGTCTTCTACATACAGCCTAAGCCACTGGAATCCACTTGAAGAAGCCAAACCTGTGTGTTCAGAAGAAATTCGTACAGTCGATCATTGTTACATGAATGTACTACCCAGACTACTTCGCCAACCCCCTAAACCTTTTGAAAATTATAATTGTCTAAATTTTTTTGTTATTATTTCTGAGCACTTCATCTTTAATTACATGTTGTCATTGTCCAAATCATTTTATGTTTTTTAACCATATGTTGCGCAATCAACTTGAACACTCGCTTATTCCCAAATTGCTCTTCATTTTTCCAAAAGTATGCATTATGCAATCCACTTATTGTGACCATTTCCATCCTTTAATTGTGTGTATTAATTTACTTGATTAATTATCACCCCGTTGACATGTAGTGGTTATCATGGCTGCCTTCCAAGCAGTCGATCTGGGTTCGACTCCCACCGGTCGCAAGAGATTTGTGAGTCGGTGGCACAGTGGTTAGGACGCTCGCCCACCATGTACATGGTCCGGGGTTCGATCCCCAGCCGACGCACACCTGATATCTATGGTCGGCTTCCAAATTTGGGCTACCGATATCCATGCTGAAAATTCCATACCTGTACCAGAAATACGGTATTGAATCAAGCTGTAAACAAAAAAAATGTTGATACTGACTAATTATTGTTAACAAACATATCAGTGCCACTTGTTTGATCACATGTCGTGTATTGTACTAAAAGTGATATATATATGATATATATATATGTCATATTATTTTAAGCCTTCTAGGTTCCCAGTGGAACATAAGGCTTCAAGCTGGAGGCTTGAATTTTCGGTAGCAGTGATATTTACTTTTACGGGATGAGGTTACTGGTCTCATGCCCAACCTTGCCTCTTTACCAGTCTTATTACTGGCTTAGCGAGGTAAGGTGTAACGACAGAAGACAAGGGCCAGGCAACAGATCTTTTATTGAGGAAATCAAGAGATATTTATGGATATTTATGTACATTATTATTCGTTATTGTTAGCAGAGAAGCAACGTCTTCTGATTGGTTGTCTTCCTGCTGAAGGTTATTCTGTCATATCTTTGTTGCCGTTTATTAAACAGTCCGGTGATATATCTGCGAATCGTATCCGCTCACGCTAAGTCTGCTGTGATTGGTTGTCGAGTTCCTCAATGTTAGGCTGAGTTCTTGTTTTTTCTCATAACTGAGATTTGGGACGTAAACATTGACGTAAATTGCTGTCTACCAATTTTGGCTAATAGACAGCTCTCACCAAAAACGGAGTGCATCCGCTGACGATCGAACCCAGGAACGTATGCGTGCTCGGCTGGCCTTCTACCGCTGTGCCACCGACGCACATATATATATATATATATTAGGGTAGAGCCAGAGATGAGGATCTAATTGAAAAGTAAATATTGTTTCGTTTAATCCTTTTTGCTTTCTAAATGTCTAAATGAGGATTTTTTTCTATATTGCTCGGCATTTATTCAATATTGCTCATAGTAATACAGTATCTTGTATCGACAGTGTGAAACACCAGGAAAAAAAATTTACCCAGTGCTCAACTCCTAATGTTACATAATTCAATACAATCAACTTACCGTTCTTCCGTTCAGTTTTCGACTGAACAGATTGCTTTTTCAACATTCCTTTAAGTTTGACTTCAGTGGATATTTTCGGTAAGGAGATAACTACAATTAAATAGAAGAAATAAAAAACAGATAAATAAATGAAAGCGACTCCTTATACTTTTTATGTTTGTTTGAATTTTTTTAACAAATCTTCACCACTATGAGGTGTCGAACAATGCTTTAAAATAAAGTAGATTATTTAAAAAAATGATTTACGTAGTGTTAATAAGTTGAGGTTTTAAATTACTTAAGCCAAAGGAACCGAAACGCACTCATTTGGCTTCGTTGAAAAAAAAGAAATAAGTATTCACTGCTCATTTGGATTTACTATTTTTTCATTATAGCTTGATTCCACACTGTATTTTTGGTACAAGTATGGAATTTTCAGCATGTGATATCGGTAGCCCAAATTTCGAAGGCCAACCATTGATATCAGGTGTGCGTCGGCGGGCGATCGAACCCCGGACCATGTTCATAGCCGGTGAGAGTCCTAACCGCTGTGCCACCGACGCTGTTCAGTCAGAAATAGTGACTTTTGGTGGTTATGACCATTAAACTGAACAGTAATCAACAGTCCTACTTGATATTCCCATGTGTATCACAGGATACTACTACTTTGATCAGAAACCAAGTGGTAACCAGTATTTTGCGTCTAGTGCTTCACTTAGTGCAGTCTGAATTCTATCAGTCAGTGAATTTCAATTTGACCACCATTCTAGGTGGGTCGCTACCAAGGTACACTCTGAATTGTAATTAGAAAGGTTGAACAAGTGCAAACAGGCACGAAACCTAGGTGCAAGGCTTCTTACCAACTGCCTCCAGCCATCTAACAACAGAATATTACTCCAAGAGTCAAATAAACTCTTTATGCCTAATCTGAATTCAATGACAGTTTTTTTAGGATGAAAGTATAATATTGAAGGTCTATTGTTTGTTTAACCGTTCAGCATTTCTTGGAATAACAACTGTTAGTATATCCATGAATTGCAACGGCACTCGTTAATAAAGCAACCGTCAACTTTCTGCAAATCTTTTAAAATTGCATCTGAAGTGTTGTAGCAAGGTGGTTTACATAAGGGATCGACAACACCAATAGGAACACCAGGCAGCTAATCAGTCTTAGTGTGGACGGTTCGTTAACACAGACACTCAATTATGACAATGAATGAAAGTCGTACTGTATATAATAAACTAGTCAAAATTTGAAAAGAAAATACTGGTATATTCCAAACTAGTGGTCGACTGATCACTTTCCCCTTTTCTGTTTAACTTCATCATAGATATGCTAATGGAAGTATCCTTAACTGAACTTAACGACTTAGGAATCGACTTGTTACCAGGGAATAGTCTTATGGACTTAGAATATGCAGACGACATAGTCCTGTTAGGGGAGGATGCTGACAAAATACAGCAGAGTCTTCTGAACACCTTGAGCAGCAATCTTCGTATGTTTGGCATGCGATTCGCCCCTATAAAATGTAAGATGCTGCTACAGGACTGGACTACGTCAACTCCTAGCTTAGTGATAGGGAGTGAAGTGATGGACGATGTTGACCACTTCACCTATTTAGGAAGTTGTATCAGCACCAACGGATTGATTGGTGACGAAATCACAGCACGGATCCAAAAAGCTCGGGCTGCTTTCGCTAACTTACACCGTCTCTGGCGTAGGCGTGACATCCGGCTATCGATCAAGGGACGTGTGTACTGCTCAGCAGTTCGCTCCGTCCTTCTCTGTGGCTCTGAAACATGGCTAATACGAGTTGAAGACATGAAAAGGTTGACTATTTTTGATCATAATGTGATGTCTACAATCTCTTTCTCACGTTAGGTGGTATAATAAGGTAAGTAATGTTGACGTTAGACGTAGAGTGCTGGGCAAAGAGGGAAAATCTATCGACGAGGCTATGAAGTTACATAGATTGAGATGGCTAGGTCACGTGGTGCGGATGCCTAACCATCGTCTCCCCCACCCCGACGGGCATTACTAGCTAGCTGATATAGGTGCAGGTTGGAAAAGAGTAAGTGGTGGCCAAACAAAAACATGGCATCAGTCAATCCATGAAATCCTTGACAGTTAAACTGGGTCAGGCAGGGAGATGCAGACTTCCGGGTTCGGGCCCGCCCTCGGGACTCTAAGAATCAATGGCTGGAGACAATAGGTGACATGGCTCAAAATCGTTGTCAATAGCTTACACAGATGTATTCAGTCTCTGTAATCTTTCATATTCCTTTCTACCATTACTCATTGTGTTTCACTCTTATACTTGTCAAAACTCTATTGATTCTCTTCACTCATTTTCTTGTCTACCTCTGTGTGCTATTTGGAACGTGGCAACTCGAACCGCTGCACTTCGGTGCCAATTTCTATGTTGAATCCAGCCAGCCAGTGGTCGACTGATAATGTGTCCGACACGAATTTTGACACCTCTTATCTCACTGCCCTAATAAGTCAAAGACTTCTATTGGCGAAGAATCCTATATCAGGGAAAATAGTTATTTACCCCCCTCCCCGCCTCCTTCATTACTCTTTCAAATTTGGCAAATGAGTGGTGTATGCTATTTAGAAAACTGTTATCAGCAGCAGTCAACCACAGTAAAATAATAATGACTGACTATTTTCAAGAATACAGTTCTGAAGTGAACCTAGAAATACACTGACAAGGAAATAAAATATTCTTTTGTCCAAGAAGTAAGGGGAAATAAATAAAACCACTGATAATTTAATAAAGTTATAAAAGGTTCATAGGCGAAAAATGCAATAAATTTGACATGATCATGTTAACTCCAACTGTATATACAAATTTACATGTATCTGCGGGAGCAGTTACATTGAAAGAACAGAAAGAAGAGCATATCTACGATTTTCTGAACATGTACCAAAAAGCTTACGTCTAAAGGGAACAAATGCTTTAGGCAGTGCCATCGCCAGGCATTTTTTTGACACGGGTCATGAGGTGGACGTCGAAAAGTCGTTCAAAATTATCAATAAGCAAAAGAGTTCAATGCTCCTTGAGTTTGCTGAAGCCTTTTCCATCAACCGCCTAAAACCTGATCTGTGCGTTCAGAAAGAAGCAGTTATCAGTCTTTCTTTGCCCTGGTAACTGGATATTTTTCATCCTAATGCGAGATACTGAAAAGTTTTCATTTTGTATGATTATTATTGCTCGGAATTGTGTTCAATATTACATATATATATATTATTAGTATATGTGTATATTGATCGATTGATTTCTGTTTAAAATGAACTCTGTGCAAGTATGTCAAATTGTTTTTGTAGATACATTTAATAATGTTTTTGCCCTGTAAGCAGCTGAAGAGAAGGCGACGAAATAAAATATGGTACCATTTTATTCTGCTGAAACTGTAGTTGTTGCTTTGTTCAAATTCATTAAGGGGAACAAATGTATGAAATTACTCATTTTTATTGATTTCCGGCTGATTCGGTGGTTTAGTGGTATAATGCCCGCCAACCGGACAAGAAGCCCCGAAGGACTTACATTCCTAAACACAGCTTAGCCAGTAGTAAGACTGGTAAGAACGAAAGATTGGACGTGAGGCTAGCAACCCACTACTTAAAAAAAATAATGGAAGTGCTACTGAGAATTCAAAGCTTAGTGTTCGAAGCCGTATGGAGTGGAAAAGAGTAAAAATAGGTGAATTTTCAGAATCGATTAGGATTTTTGTAAATTTTTTTATAAATTCACTATTTCCACTTTTTAAAAGAATAATTAAAAATCATGCTGTAGAGTACTGAAGCAAAAAGCATGAAAGCACACATTCTTGTAGTAAATGTATCCAAAGTTTAGTAAAGTGAATTACTCTACAGAAAATAACTTGGTTTAGATGCAGCAAACTACGAAGAATGAGACGGAAAATTGCTATAAGCATGATGACATTCATTCATATAATAGAACTACGCGTGAACGTATATAACATATGCATAAATTACTGATAAAAACAAAATACCTGTATATTCTTCAGGTGTAAGCGGACAATTGACTGTATCAGGTGAAACATCTAACAAATAAGAAGCTGTTATATTGCAAAGTTTTTTTGTTGGAAGGCATACAGAACGATTTGCAGGTGTACGAAATTTACTGCCAGACCTTTGAGAGTGAGAAGAAGCGTTTCCCAATATAGGCGAATCACTGAATTCTTGATCTAATGAGTCATTGGTCACAAGTGATTCAACTGACAATGAATGATTAGTTTTTGGTGTATCAGACTTTGTCATAGGCAAGTTCATATCCGTTTGTTTCTCTAGATTCTGTTTCAGTGTAAAATGAAAGAAACAAGAAACCAAAAGAAAAAGACAAAACTTAAGCATTTACTCCAACAATGTGCATACAGAAATCTTTAATAAACACTTTTATTCATTATACGGATATTAGTTTAGGACAGGAAACAATTTAAGGAACAATTAATGATGAAGAATGAAGACAAACAATTCATGCATCCTTATTGTCCTTGTTTTTAAATGATTAATAGGTACACTTTTAATTGTTTAGATGAGGTTTTGGGCGTATTAAAGATTAACATAATCAAATAGAATCTTTCTTTTCACAGAATGATGAAAGTAAACATGCAAATTTCATCTTTATACTAAATGTATTACACTAGTAGCTTTGATCACACAGTTTGGTTGCATCATTTTTAATCAATTACTAATCATGACTAGTGGAACCGAAATCCACTACTGGTCTATTCTTTTAATTGGATTTTAGATTTTTCCGTCGATTGATTGGACCAAAGTGCTCGGTCTCAGGTTGACACGTCGCCTTCCTGTGCATATGCTTCGACGATGTCTTGGCATGTTATTCGAAGTGACTAGCAGTGGAATCCAGGATGCGCATTTCATTCTATTTTGAACTTGTTAGCTGGATGTATCTGCTTTGTCGTTTGAAACTATGGGCACTGAGTTCGAGCCTCAGTGGGAACATCATCACTCACTGGGGAATGCAGGTAGATCCAGATGACGAGTTTCCAAATAGGACGAAATGCGTGTTGTCCTGGATTCCACTGCTAGTCACCATCAACGAATTGGTCTATTCTGTTAAGATATATTGCACCACTTTTAAAATGAAATAATAAAACTGAAAAATGATAGGATGGCATTTCACTACATGAATTCTCTGAAGCATAGTTTGTTGTAGAAAACAATAAGTATACTATAGATGCATTTGTTTTACTGCTTAGAAGACGTGACAAAGGTTTTCTACTGACAACTGCTTTTTCATCTACAAAACACGCATCATTCAAATCAGATAATTGTAGAGGGAAACCTTAATGCACAAGAAGAAAGGCTAATCCACACACCCCATGGTGAACCCAACACCGGACTCAAACATACTGCTGACGTGAATTACCAATAAAAATGTCTGGCAGATAACTAGCGAACCATTAAAAGACAGTCGGTATCAACGACCATTTAGAACTAATTGGTATATGATAATGCATTTTCCCTGGCTTCCAGTGCAGTAAAATTTGGAGGAAATCTAAATGTAGACTAACAAACAGTCTACACAATCATTTTCAACACCAAGAAACCTGTACAGATGTAAAAAGTATCCGTGATTAGTGGTAGCAAACAATCAGTCAAGAGGATCGAAGAGGCTAGCCCTAGAAATCTATGAGATGGCTTAACTGCAAATGGGAAAGACAAATCTGCTGTTAACCTAACAGGACAGCCTATAACAAAGATGAACAGAACACTTTGAAAGCCAATTAAAACTTCACATCATTTGATCACTTAAGTGTCAAAACCGAAATGATGAACTGATGTAAGATTATAGCCCTTGCAGAAGTTGGAATAGTCATTAGGAACCTTATGTAATAAAAAGAAAAGGAGCTTAACAGGTCATTTAGAAGGCTACTTACGGGTTACTAAATTTCAATTACTAGATGAAGTGACGGATATAACTTTTTCTGTTAATTGTCTAATTATCGAAGTAAGCAGAATCCATAATCACTCAGTGCTGAAACACATGTAAGTATGAATAAGCCCAAGAAAATCAACAATTCATAGTGCTTTCGGATACCAGGATATAGACATACCTGAGAATTCTCAGATGATGAAAAGTAGCTTTGATTTCGACAGCTGAATAGTCTTATGCAGTATATTTAGCTTAACGGAATGCCTAACTAATATATTTCCTTGCTGAAGGTTGTATAATCGAACGGAGTTAACTCCATAATGCAGTAGTTTTTTATCTGTGAAATAGTACAGTGATACAGTATTACTTTTCTACTGAGAATAATTTGTTGCTCATAGTCATATCAAGGTGGAGTGCCTGCAGTAAGAACATTCATTTTGGCAGATTTCATTTACCTTCATTACAAATGTTCTTACAGGTGTCACTGTCTCCTCATGTGAACTAATCTCACGTATCGACTGTTTCGCTTGATAAGTCAGCAGCTGACGGAATCACAGTACTGATACAAAAGTCTAGTTTGACTTCACTGAACTCCGTTGTTCATGATATCGTACTGCTCATTCAGAGTAGACAATACCACTCGAAAATGTACCCTGTGTAGGCATCAGATAGTTAACCATTACTCCCCTTGTAACACTATTCTCGACCGGAGTTGTTTGGAGGTCTAGACATAATCTCAGGAAAGACAGATAAGTCATAAGCATCCATAGTCTGGAGTGATTGGGACATGTGTTACGTCTACCCCAGATGTCTACGTTAACTAGAAGGAAGTGAAGAGTGTAAGATACTTAAAGGCAGAAACAATTGCTGTAGTTATTAGCTGAGCTAACTGATGTTCTTGTCCATTTTAGTACAATAAGCAAAGTGAAATTAAGTTTTATTGTTCACAGTTGAGACCTCTTCTTTCTCCTAGTCATCAACATCTTTAGTAACTTTAAATCCCTTATTATCTTTCCATAAAAGAATAATTTTATTTGGTTTAACAAATAACCACAGCTCAAAGGCATCTCAATATATGTGTAGAACTTTGGCACTGTGGTAGTATGCAATTCCATAATACTTTGTTTATTAGATTTATCACACTACAAGCAATTACACATAACCATACAGTTGGATGGTGCGTCCGTGGCTCAACGGTTAGAACGCTCGCCAACTAAGCACATGGTCCGGGGTTCAATTCCCGGCCGACGCACCCTTTTACCTCGCTAAGCCAGAAATAAGGCCGGTTGGGCATGAGGTCAGCAAACCTATCCTGTAAAAATACACACTGCTATCGAAACTTCAAGTCTCTAGATTGAAGCTCTATGTTCCACTGCGAACTTGAAGGAATAAAAATAATACAATTTGTTGGAATAAGATGACAGTTTTAAAATCTAATGTAACAGGGTGAAGGAAGAGATTGATTACGGAAGCTTTATTTATCGAATCACAGTTGAAAATATGTGTAGTAGAAATGACTGAACACCTGTCTCGGACATCTAGAAAATTCTACTTCCCCTACGACGAATGGGAAGGAATAAAGAAAACTATAAAACTCAAGTTTCGAAGTCGTGTGATTATAATTGATATGATTATGAATAATAATAAATTGTGTTCGAAACTTTGTCATCCAGTAAATAATACTGTTTCACTGTGTGTGTGTGTGTGTGATATATCTAACAAACAAATTAATATGGTATTCAAAGGCATCTTTTCATGAGTAGTCGTATCCTGATGATTAGGAATTTTTTTAAAAGAACCCACTCACCTTTGGTTCTTGAGACACATTATCTTTGGAAAATGCATCTGGACTAATTTTGGAAAAATCAGGAACTGCTTCATTTGTATATATTTGTGGTTGTTTTGAAGTAGTAACACGATGTACTTTATCTTTCGATTCAAATATACTGTACAACGGTCTAACAGATGAGGCAGCAGAAGACAACTTATCGACATATTCTTCACAAGTACCAGAAAAAACTGAATCTAAAGATTTTTTAAAGGTGAAAAATACCATGGAATCATGACAGATAAAGTTGGAACTATCTGTTTAGTTCATAATATTGCTAAGTTATTAACGTGCAGTAAGAAAAGTTCATTGAATGAACTAAATGTATCATAATTATTACTCAAAGACCATTACCAGTTGAAATTACTCCCCTTTGAGATTATCAGATTATCAGAAAAAGGTTGACTTCAAAGCACAAACAGAAAATCAGTTAGCTTCATACTGTAACTTGAGTAACAATCGGTATTCGACTAGGAGATGATATTGTCAGCAGGACATGGATGTGGCAGATATGTGAGAAGGGGGAAAAAGATATAAAAGTTAGTCCGACAAAAACTATGCATCTTATCTTGTTTTGCTATCCAGCATAAAGCCTACCTTCAGAGTATCTTACCGATAAAAATCTCCCAAGGTTTATTATCAAACCATAGCGCTCCACAATAGCTCACATCAGTGTCATTTATATTAAACGACCATGTTGTTCACCTGGTCGAAAGATACGCATCATCACATTTAGAAGTGAAAAAAACTCATTTGATCAATATCTGGTGACCGATTCGCTTAGTTTCAGGTAATGAACATAACATGTATTTCCGATCGAGACTGAAATTCACTATCTACAATGATCCACTATATATTTCACCTAAAGAATGCAGTGTGAAAGATTCGTTCTATAGGTACAAGGGTATTTAACTGTTATCCTTTGTGAACTTATTCTTTCTCTTACACAAGAAGTACTACTCTACTCAGTCTTAATTAATATTCCTCTTTCTGGTTTGACTTGGTGTCCAGAGTCGATCAAATGTTCAAGGATCGAGCTCCAGGGGCATTGGTTCTCTCCTTTATAAAACCATGAAGGTAAATGTTCGTTGACGCATTTGGATAGCGAACGCTCAGTACGGCCGATATACCTGGCTTCACACGAGCAGGTGAATTGGTAGATGCACATAGATGGAGCCTACAGCGGTAGCTAATCCTTCACGTTCATACGAATCATTGGTCTCGTGGAGAACGTCAGTCGTAATTCAGCTGCAAACAAGGTTTTCTTCAATGAGCGGGAGAGCCGATTTCTCAGTATTTCTGTAGATTGATCTCCACTGAACTGTAGGCTCATATAGAGAAGTCTTTTTGGGGCACTGGGTGTGGGCGGCTTCTTTGGTCTGGGTTTTATTGATTTTGTGATAAATCTTTCTGGATAGACATTTTCAAGGAGGATTTTCTTTGTAAAATTATAGAGGATAATTATTGCTGTCACTAAAGTTTATTTCGAAAGGACTTAAATGAGATGTAACCAACTATGGTATAAATAGTTAATATCATAAATATTCAGTAGAGTTGCCATAAGGAATAACATACATACTAAACAAGTTGACAGCATTTGTAATTTAATTCATCGCCTGCTTTACATTTTGTTATAGACTAAATAAAATAAGCTTGAAATAGAGTTAACTTGTAAATACTGAGATTATATATATACATCTGACACTAACCTTGAGCATACTTTAACTCTGTGATATTGAGACTTTCAGAATCAGAAACACATAAATCATCCTTGATTACAGGTTCTGGAATTTTCAAAGTTGCTACCGGAGATGTTTTCAAGGGTCTACAGTAAAATGCAAAGAAAAACTCAGCTTACTTATTGAGAGCATAATAGGATTCAATGAATACAGAAACATTTACTTTACAAAACAACTATAATCCATCACAAATATTAGATAAATATCTTAAAATTATATGCCCACTGGATTATGCAGGGGACTATGGGGAGCTAGAAGACAGGAATACATTGGACGGACAAGAAGACTCTAGAAGATCTGGATTTCGCCAGGATGATTTGTGTCCAAAGTCATACAGACTTGAAGATCTACAGACAAAAATCAACAAGTTGGCAAAATAGACAGGCAGTGAAGACAGAACTTAAAGTGAACATATAGAAGGCAGATGTGATCAAGGTACCTGACTACCACCAACAATAACAGTGAGCACCAGTCCCTATCAACAGGCGAAATTTTAAATTGGTCACTTCTTTCACTTATATAGGCAGCATCATTTCAACTGCAGTCGGTGGCATAGCGGTTAGGACGCTCGCCGACCGTGCACATGGTCCGGGGTTCGATCCCCGGCCACCGACGCACTCCTTTACCTCGCTGAGCCAGGAATAATTCTGGTAAAGAGGAAAGGTTGGGCATGAGGCTAGCAACCCCATCCTGTAAAATAAACACTGCTACAGAAACTTCAAGCCACTAGCTTGAAGCCCTATGTTCCACTGGGGAACGTGAAGGAAAAAAATTTCAACTACAGGCGACAGCAAAGATGAGGATGTCAAAATTAGTATTGCAGAAGCGAGGCAGACCTTCGTCACTCTGAAATCAGCGTGGAAATCCTCTGCACTCAGCATCAAGAACAAACTTTGGATTTTCAACACTGATGTCAAGTCACACAGTTCTTCTCTGCGGGTCAAAAACTTGGCCAGTGTATCACAAAAAGCATTTCCAAAGGGCTTAAAACTTTTGTCAACATCTGCCTTCTGTGTATACTGAAGATCAGAAAGCCAATCAGAAGGAAGTAGCAACAAGGAAATCTGGCAACCGAAACACCAACCAAGAACCTACTGCTCAACAAGTATGTAGAAGAAAACAGAGATAGGTTGAACATACGCTGAGTTGACTTCCGGGTGACAATTTGCTCCAGGTCGTCCTATGAGTGGAATCCGAATGGGAAACGATGAGTTGGGCATGATTTCAAGGTTGACATACAGGAGGAGATGAGAGATTATGGACAATCGTGAGACAAGCTAAAGAGGACTGCAGAAAATAGGACGAAATCCTGGGGAAGCCCTATGCTGCAACTGGAACTCAAGGGAACAATAATAACATATACCCAACAGGTAGTTGGAGAAATTAATAACAGACGAACTCTAGGTTTATATGCCGTATAGATAGGGAGTTATTTGAAAGTTTGTAAGAAGATTAAAAAAAACAATACCACATTAAATTTACAAATTTCTGAAGCTTAACACAGGAAACAATTTATTACTTGTAGTGAATAAAACTTACGCTTTACGATGCTTTTCTGGTGTATGTTTATCCATGTCCACATCTCTTGTCTCATTATACGAAATCATATAATCAAGAGGAAATGTTCCAGAAAATTTATCACTTTTCGAGTCTTGAAAATAGGATTCTTCTCTTGAAAAATTGCTACTGTGTTCCTTACATTTTTGTATGAGATTATCTGGTGTCAGAGGTTCCCGGATTTCGGTACTTGAAGATTCTTGTACCTTGACTGTATGTGATTCAAGCTTTATGTTGTCGCAAACAGGGTTTACGATATTATTCTCTTTATTTTCATTGGGAAGATTTAATACACTTCTGCGTACAATAGGAGAGCAGGCAATCAATGACTGATATGAATTCCTGGGGATGTGAGCGTCTTTTCTTTTCAACTTCTAAGGGGATATAAATAATGATTAGATGATAAAAAATAATTGTTTTTATATAAAATTACCTCAGTCATCTGTGTTATTGATGTCTTCTGAGTTGAGCTCTCGTGTCGCATTGCAGCTACATTTATCGGTGAGATGACAATAGAACTATGCACCGATTGTACACTCGAGTTAGTATTCGTTCTCGTACTATCCAAATTAAGATACTGAAAAAATTAAAATAGAGATTTTTTGTAAATGTGATATAAAATGTTTTCAGTAAACCAATGACGACACTGAAAGAAACATAAGTCAAAAATCTCAAGAATTAATAAGCTCATTTGAGCTTATTAATTCTAATACAACTAGAAAAGAACAAGTCGTAGGTGGTATTATCCAGTCAAGAATGGCATCTGTCACACTTCGATGTAATTAAGTCATCAAATCCCTCTTACATAATTAACGAAATATCTAACATCATAGACAAAATAATATCTTCAGTCTCGAAGTCTGAGAATAAGAACCTGCTAAACAGAAGATTTTTTTTTCTTAAGAATTAGATCATGTAAGTCAATAACAAAATGTATAGAAGTAAGCAACCAAATGTATCAAATGTAGTGAGTTGAATTCACTTCACTTAGATTAAAACGGATATGAGCCTACGGGAATTAAGAAGACAAAAAGCAAATGAAGTAATTCGATAAGAGTGGAAACCCGATATATTTAGATTTGATAAGCCATAATGTAATGAAATCAGAAGGACTGATACTATGACTTCCTTCAGAGATATTGGATGGTTGAAGGCAATTGGAAGGAAGCCTTAGATCTAGCTAGGTTTCGTGCTTGTTGGCACTCGTCAGCGAGACCTATCCGCAGTCTTTAAGGAACTCATGTCCCTTCTGAGATTCGAACACGCGTCACCCAGTGCTGACTGCAGTCAGAGACATTACCAGTGAACTATTCGGGCTCGCGAGTGACCTCCTGTATGATTGCATTCGATATTTTTGATTGGACACTAGTCAGTAACTAGTGTAATGTGTCAAGTCCTATCTTTGGTGCAGACTGAATTCTATTAGTCAATGAGTGTCAACTGACACGAATCCTAGGTGCATGGCTTCCTGCCGATAGCCTCCAACCATTGCACTTAGTGGCGGGTCACAAAGAATATTTCCAACAGCCTGTTGCAGACCTTTATCAACAACTAACTGTCTTCGCTCTATGCTGAAGATCAGATGGCCGGAAAGAATCACCAACAAGAAACTATGGGAACAAACAAAACAAGAACCAATCGCTCAACAAATATGCAGGAGAAAGTGGAGATGGATTGGACACTCGCTGAGGAGGCCACTGGGTGACATCGCGCGTCAGGCCATAGCTCGAGTGGAACCCGAAAGTGAAGCGGCGAGTGGGACGTCCAAGGGTGACATGGAGGAGATCGTGTGAAGAAGAGTTGAAACAGTATGGACTGACATGGATGCAGGTGAAAAGTACAGCAGAAGACAGAAGCAAGTGGAGGCGTGCAGTTGAAGCCCTATGTTCCACTAGGAACCCAAGGGAACAATAATAATAATAGTGCTATCTCTATTAAGGTTGAATAAATCTAAAGTTGGGAAGAAAAGAGTAAAGTATCAAATGGTAATATCCTTGACCGATGAAATAAGCTGCATAGGAAAACTCAGTTTTTACTACTTTCTAAAATCTTATGGTATTTTACGACTTTGATATAATTTCTATTTCTTTAACTTTATTCTCATTATTTGTTACCTTATTATTTTCATATTTATATATGTGTTGAAAGAATTTTGACTGTTAAATAGTAATTTAACCCTTTTCTAATGACAATGTCTGCCTCATTTTCAGAAAATAGCTCGTGTTATTGTTTTGTAGGCAGTTGGGCAAAATCTGTACCGAAACTCTGCAAACATTGAGCAGCAAGAAAGGAATAAAGCCAGAGACAAAAAAAGTAGCCTGTTCTTATCGAGGGCTTAAAAAAAAAGAACCGGCCAACGTGACAAGTTTTCTATTATAACGGTACTTTCAGATACAAAACAAACGCGTGAATCAGATGAAAATTAACAAGATGAAATCACTCACAAAAGTTTACCAACTGATATTACCACAGCTGGGAATTGCCATAGAAAGTGATTATAAACAAAAATTGAGTTATAAGTGATGCTACACAAATGACAGACTGTAATATGGTAACATTCCATATTTTAAGAAGTATAGATTCCTGATACATTGAAGCTAAGTGTAGATTTTGTTAAGTGCCGCTGAATTCGTAACCACTGACCCTAAGACTTCCAACCATTGCAGTTAACTGACTCTACGTCTATGTCTTTACATGGTTCTCACTTCGAGCTTAATCTTCTTTCAGTCAGCATTGTACATCTGGGTTAAGCAATACATTGGTCTGAATCAGTCGTTGTCCTCTACTTTCAAAACTGATTGATCCTCTAAGGCGTAAACTGCTTGGTCAACCTGAGCATTATTTGAATCAGGTTACGAAACCATTCATTACGTAAGGTGTCTAATAAACATTTGTTTATTAATGCATAAAAGGAAAGAAAATAGTTTAGATGTTACAAGAAACAGTCATACAGAGTGTGATTCCCGTTTCCAAATACATTTCACCGAAAAGTATACCTTAGAATGTACAAAATTGATATAAAAGATGAATATTTATTAGGTAAGAAATGTAAAACCTGGGAAGCATCGTTTCAAATACAGGCGGATGGGACTGATGAGGATATCAAAGCAAGAATCAGAAAAGCAAGACAAGCTTTCACTACTCTCAAATCTGTGTGGAGGTCAACAGCACTCAGCTTCAAAACGAAGATAAGATCCGGATTTTCAACTCCAATGTGAGGTCAGTCACTACTACTATACGGAACAGAGACTTGCACTGCGCGTCATAAAGAGTATCTCAAACAAACTACAGACCTTCATTAACAGTTGTCTTCGCTCAATACCACTCAAGATCAGATGGCCGGTCAGAAAAGATCAGCAACAGAGAGGGATCTCTGGCAATGAGCGAACCAACTCAGTAGGAACCGATTGTGAAACAAATAGGCAGGAAGAAATAGAGATGGATTGGCTGGCCATACTCTGAGGAAACAAACCATCAAGTGACATCACTATACAAGCCATTGCTTGAGTGGAACCCGACTGAACGGGAAGCGGTGAGTTGGTCGTGAGTGCGAGGGTGGGTGACTTGGAGGAGGTCATGTGAAGAGGAGATGAAAACGTGTGGACAGACTTTGAGCCAGGTGAAGACTCTAGCAGAGAACGGAACGCAATGGAGACGCACGGCTGAGGTCCTATGTTCCTCTAGCAATTAAAGGAAACAATAATAATAATAATGTAAAACGTGTTAACATACCTTACGAAACGATTGTAAACGCTTTAGAATACCAACTAGACTAGCTTCTTGACTGTCATCATCATTATCATCATCATCATCATTAGCATTCATAGATGATGATGATGTTGATGATGTGAATTTCAGCTGGAAAAAGTTCTTGTTTAGCTCACTCACTATAATCTTCGCTTCAATAACATATCCAGAAATTGTTTGTGCCCAATCGCATAAATCTTTAATTGTTTCAGTCATAGTGAAACGTACAATAAGAAGATCATCTTCAACTGAAAAAATAATTGTAAAGAATATTAGTTGAATAAAGTACACAGAAAAAGAAAAATCTTAATATATAGTGAGAAGATTTTCAACAACAACAAAAAAAATCGATAAGGATAAGTATCATGAGAAAACAATAGAGACTGAAAAGGAAAAGGCTTGAAGTATTCAACGCTCAAGATTAATTTCTATATGGTCATTCAGAGTGATATTAATTTTCGATCAATATGTAGACACCTTTTTTAAAACAGGTAAGTAAAACAAAATTTTAAAAATAACGGTAGGATTGAAACAGTGGCGGTATTTATAAGGTTATGAAGAAACCAGGAATCCGTCTTCCTGCCATTATAGTGTACACAAATATGCATAGACAAAGAAGTGTACGGGTAAATATTCCCTAAATAAAATATGAAATTAACTGACATTTCACGACTATATAAACAAATATATATATACATATATTGTCTTTTCAGAATTGGAAAAGCAAAGTACACTTCAGCATTCTGAAATCATTCTGGAAGTCTTGTGAACCCGGCACAAAGTAGGCGTTTCCGATTTCCAACACAAATGTGAAGTCACTAAGTGCTTTTATAAGGAATAGAAACTTGGCCAATGTGTAGCAAAAAGGATTTCCAACAGTAATATTAACTGATGACTTTTCGAGCACTAACTATTGCTCATATTTATATGATTATGAGCAATAGTTTGTGTTCAAAACGTCATCAGTTAATATTACTGTACAACACTGTATGATTTATCAAAATAAAATCGTATCCATAATAGAGTTATACTCTACCACAGTGCCTAAGTTTTATACATATATCAATAATTTCCAATTGCTTGCAGAATTTCATCAACAGCTGCCTTCTCTGGCTCCATGCTGAAGATCAGATGACCAGAAAGAATTATCAACAAGAAACTCTGGGAAAAAACTAACCAAGAACTTATTGCTCAACAAATATTTAGAAGAAAATAGAGATGAACCAGGGGTACGCTGACGAAATTGTCAAATGACATCGTGCGCCAGGCCCGCCCTTGAGTGGAACTCGAATGGGTAAAGGTGAGTTGGATGTTAGTCCAACGGTGACATGGAGGAGATGAGAGATTATGGGCAAACGTGGGGCCAGCTAAAAGGGACCGTAGAGAATAGGAGGGAGTGGATATGTGCTGCTGAAGCCCTATGTTCCAATCAGAACCTAAAGGAAGACATATATATATATAATCTAAGTTTCATTAAATAAGCATTAATAATACTGCCTTAAGTTCTCAGATCATTATTGTTGTAAAACAGCTTTTGTGTATTCAAAAAGCAAAGAATTACTTAATATAAAAAGTCAGCTTCTATCTCGAATCTCCTATGAATGTAATTTACACTTAGATTAGTGTAGTCATTCTCCTTTTTCTAAATAATGATTTAATCGGTTACAGGTTTGACCACGAGTTAATATCACTTAGGGAATGACTGGGAAACAAGGGAGTACTTGACAGATGAGGAGTCACAAACTGGGACAAAACAGCTGTCCAGTACCCCCTGGTGTAACAAGGGTTCTCTAACTGATGTTATATAGTGATGATCAGACCTGCAGTGATTTATACAACACTAATAGAACTACTTTAAATCGGTTGAGTGAGAAGGAATATTATGTATGCTATTTCAATACATTATTTTGTTGATCCGTGTATCAGTGTAACATATACAAACAAAAATACACATGCAGACTTCGTAAAAATAATAATGTGAATGTCTTATTTAATCAGTCTGACAACCTGCACTAACACCGATATCCTACAATCATAATAACGCTATGAATGGTGTTAATGAAACGAGTTAATTCAACATAATGAATGAAAGGGACCACATAGCCATGATTATTTGATGTAAAATCCATAATATAGATAAAAATTATTAGATGATTGGAGACAGTCGGCGAGAAGCCTTGGACCTAGGTTTCGTGCTAGTTGGCTGTCGTCAGAATGGCGTATCTGCAATCTTGAAATGATTCATGTCTCTTTTGAGATAAGATTAACAAAACCAGTTAGAGATTAAACCGCTGAACAGCTTTTCGCACACATGATATCTAACAACCGAAAAAAAAAATATTTGAACAGCTATAGCACATATCTTCAGTTCAGCTAGGCTACTTCTCTTGTATATGCAGTTATGTCACACTGATTTGTTTATCTATGTAGCAGCTGTCAAATTCTTCACAAATAATATTGACTACTTCCTTATTTAGACTTGTTACTTACTGCTGAACTGGTTGTCACCTGAAATGAAGTCAGGTGCATAAAAACAACAGTCAGCAATTACCTGGTATTAACTCATAACACAAGTATAAGAATAAACAAAGCGATAACACCCAGTAAATACATACAAGTTTGTGTAATGACCTGTTAGTTACACCTCGTGTCTGGGATCGGGATATTAAGTGTCCACTAAAACTTAGGTAAATCGACAGCTTCAAACTTACTGCTTACTTACTGAAAGTTAAGTATTAAAGTAATCAAAATCTAATAAAGTTTATCTAACAAGGAAACTCTGGAATGGCACGACTTTGTAAAGTAAGCTAACAGATTAGAGTATTGCAAACATCGGGGTAGATGTGCGCTGGTTGTATTTGGGGAGATTTGAGCAGCAAACGAAAATAACTGTACAGAATGAAATTCTTAAGTACCAAAATAGGATAAACGTGTGTGGGTGGCATAGCGGTTAGAACGCTAGCCGGCCGTGCACATGATTCGGGGTTTGATCCCCGGCCGACGCATTCCTTTACCTCGTTAAGCCAGAAATAATGCTGGTGAAGAGGAAAGGTTGGGCATGAGGCTAGCAACCCTATCCTGTAAAATAAACACTGCTACGAAAACTATAAGCCACTAGCCTGAAGCCCTATGTTCTACTGGGGAAAGTGAAGAAAAAAAAATAGGATAGATAGTCATTTACTAACAGATATTTTGTGGTTGAAGGCAATCAGCTGGAAGCCGTGAACCTAGGTTTCGGGCTTATTGGCACTTGTTAACGATACCTATCTGCAATCTTGCAGGAACTCATGTCCCTTCTGGGGTTCGAATCCGTGTCACCCAGTGCTGAAGTCAGAGACGTTACCACTGAATTATTTGGGCTCGCGATTGACCTCCTGAAGCACTGTATACATATTAGATATTGACAGCACTAAGGAAATAAACTTCTTTTTGTATCACTTAAGCCTTTCAGTACTGATTTTTACTATTTCAGATAAGAAGTAAGCTCTAGTTTTGTTTTGCGGATTTATCTACTGAAAGGTTGACAAAAACTACAGTGAAACCTATTAAAATCATATTGAAATATCAGGTAGAACAACAAGTTAAGAAATTTATTCCAATCATAGAAACTATTAGCAATAAATAAGTAGTACAAAACGTAAACACAAAAGTTTTCTCACAATAGACAGTTTGGGTTAAAAAGATGGAGTACTCTGAGCATAGTATTGGTCTTACAGATGGTTGTTTAAACAAAGCGAAAAGTATCTTATTTCTCAAAACTGAGACATGCACTCAACAAATCACATGACTTCAGGTTCAAATAATTTCTTAGAAAACTAAGCCCATACATATAACACAAGAATAATATTATTACTCAGATAATATGTAAACCTTCTATAAGGTGAAGTACGAATTCAGCTTTATAATGATCCAAATGTTGAAAATATTATCCTTTCACTTCAGTTCTGGAGTGTTGCTAAATCTTTCTGAGGAGGAGAGTTGATAGTGCGGCGTGTGTTACTGATAAGATTTATCAGTAGTATATACAGAGACGTTCACCGGCGTAAAAATATCAAATAGCAAGGAGATAGATTTGACGTCAGAGAAAGCAAATGATTCAGCGTTGCGGAGAAACGTGGGAGACGTGAAAGGAACACAAAGAAACACAATATGAAGGCCACAACACGGAAGATCTGTGTACATAATTTCGCTATATAGCTAAGCCAAATTCCAAATAAACATTCCTTTACTAATTCTCTTGTCTTCTACCGTTACAATAGCACAATCCTATATCAAAATGAAATAGGCAGTTGACCAGTTTTTACAGTTTTGTCCCAAAAAAAAGATATCTGATGAATTCTTTTCTTATTAGACACTTAAATCGAGAAGCGAAGTCATCCTGAAATATTGGTTCAAGATGGGTCTGTCTGTCTGTCTGTCTGGATTCAGCATAGAACTTGGCACCGAAGTGCAGCAGTTCGAGTTGCCACGTTTCAAATAGCACACAAAGGTAGACAAGAAGATGAGTCGAGAGAATCAATAGGGTTTCGACAAGTATAAGAGTGAAACAGAATAGGTAATGGTAGAAAGGAATATGAAAGATTACAGTGACTGAATACATCTGCGTTAGCCATTGACAACGATTTTGAGCCATGTCACCTATTGTCTTCAGCCATTGATTCTTAGAGTCCCGAGGGCCCCAAAGAATGGATGGATGGATATCCACTCTCATTCATCAAAAAATATTTGATAAAGAAAGTTGATTATCCGTGCAACCCAGAATTACAAATGAAGTTGATTTGAAATTTGAAATTCACTAAATGATTTTCTTCAAAGTGGATGTTAAATTTGGTAAAGTTAAACTTTAAGCACCACTAACTACCAATCAGCGAATGACCTTCAACGAACCAATCACATGAAAGAGGCATTTTTGGTTATGGAAAACATATATTTATGAAAAAGATGCATAAAAACTGCTTAAAACTTGTACATAGGGTATCTTTCTCTGACGTGTGATAAAAACATCTCCCAGTTTAGCATAGGAGTATCAATTGAAAAGTTACACCACATTCTATACATATATTCATCTAAATGACTATAAATGACATCTTTCTGAGATCCATTATAAGCTCTAATCTGGTTTTTTAACTTTACTCAAAAGCCTTCTATAGAACTGGTGTGTGTCCCTGTAATAGGATCCACAAAATCATTAGAATGGTTCACTCGGTGATGAATTTATCCAAGGGATGACAGGCAGTTATGACCTTTCCACTCATCAGGGTGTATTATAGATCCCTGTTTCACTAGTCGAGTGATAATAGGTACTGAGGTAGTTGACTCTCTGCCTGCTATTCTCTCAACGAATCATTTCTGTAGAGAGGTATCATATAAGCCGATCACCCAAACATTGTTTGCTCTACCACGACCACGGTTGTATTTCTGTTTCAATAAGACAGTTTCATCCTCCTAATAACGAAGTAATTAGGAGGTGCTGGTACCACTGAACTGTTGATACGAGGCTATTTTCACTTTCAGCAGCTGCACCTCTCACAGGCTGTTTTAAAACCCAGTAATTACAAATATACAAAATCTGGGTTAAGGACAGATGGAACCTGGCAAAAAATGTTCCTACGAAATATTAGAATCATCAGCTTACCTTCCCTGACACTAACTCGTCTCAAACAAATTTCACAACGATGGACATGTCCATCAATCTATTTGCTGAAGCTTTTTATACTCATGACACCTACACATGAATAAATCCTTTCCTTCCTAAGCAACCCCATATCCAAGCAATACTGGAAAACCTTATCCTCACCAAATTGCAACCGCAACTGTGTTAGAGCAAGCATTCGACTCGAATCAAGCTGAATAGAACCTTCAACTCATGTGGATGGAACTCACTGGACCATTCAAGGTTATTGGCTGATTGGTTGTTAGTGGTGCTTACAATTTAACTTAGTCTTAACCATTCCAAGCAACCTTTAGATCATAAAAATCTTATAGACGTAGTTCCATTATTAGCAGCATAGATGTGTATCCATCAGTTCACTTGCTTCTGTTATGCCAATGACACAAATTGTAACAGTTGCACATGAACACTTTTCGAACAAGATTAATGACAGAAGAAAACAGGCTAACCAATAGTTTAATTCTTGAAGACCTTGTTCTTTCGCATCATTCTATATTAATAGGGAAGTTTTCCAGAATGATACATAAGGTAAAGTCAAGCTGTTCGAAGAGTTTCCGCTCATAACTGAAGCTCCTATTAAACATAAAGAAAATCCCAAACTGTAAATATTTAATTGAATTTTGGATTTTCCCGTCGATTGATTGGACCGAAGTGCTCGCTCTCAGGTTGACATCTCGGCTTCTTGAGCAGATGCTTCGACGATGTCTGGGCATTTAATTAGTATTTAATCGGTGGATGGTGACTAGCAGTGGAATCCAGGATGCGCATTTCATCTTATTTGGGACATCATCACTCACTGAGAAATGCAGGTACATCCAGCTGACGAGTCCCAAATTGGACGAAATGCGCATCCTGGATTCCACTGCTAGTCACCATCCACCGATTAAATGTAAATATTTAGACTATAAACGTCTCTAATTTCTTGGAAGAGTTTTATTCAATTCCTTTTACTGTTAAAATCTTAAACTCTTTTTTGACATGTTATGTGATAATTTCGTGTGCATTATTATCATATTATTTTATTCCTTCTAGGTTCCCAGTGGGACATAGGGCTTCAAGCTAGAGCTTTGAAGTTTCGGTAGCAGTGATTTTATTTTTATGGGATGGGGTTGCTAACCTCACGCCTAACCTTCTCTCTTTGCTGGGCCTACTACTGGCTTAGCGAGGTTTAAGAGTACCTCAGCTGGGGATAGAAACCTGGACCACTTGCGTGGTTGTGTGTAATTCATCTTTATTTCTTTCGGTAGACTCCTAGCGTTTTAAATATCCTTATACATATTCCGAATCTCTTCCACTTGTAACTGTTTTGTTGTATAAGATCGCTTACATTTTTCTCTAGGAAAAAAGACAAAATTTGCTGCATAAAGTATACACAGCTGTAGACAGTTTAAAACACACAGAGTATTCACGAAATAATAGTAATAGTAATAATACAGAATTTTTTAAATTTTATTAACCAAAAATTTTGACCTGAAGACCCTAGATTAAAGAAATAACAAATGGGTGAGATCTGTTTGCGTAATCAGTTACTTATATCACGAAAAGAAAGTCGTGATTTGTCATAAGTTTGGATGAAGATTCAAGTAATTTCGATAGTACGCTTCTCAAAAACAAAACAAAACATTAAGTGACCAGTGACAAACAAAGGGAGGGGGCTGGAGATTACGCAAGAACACAGTTTAGGAATGATATGAAATCCATTACGTGAGTTGTGATCAATAGGTTAAAATAAACATTTCTGAACATTATTGCTCATCACATAATGTCTTGGCTTACGTAACCAACTCAAACAGTTAAACAATTCTCTTACTGACATACAGCTAAATATTTGATGGCATAGTGACACTAGTGTTTGACCCTTATCAACATTTTGACCTTTAAGAAATATTATTTTAACTAAACAGCTTTAATAAGAAGTTATGATGAGTACTCATGTCTGACTCATCCTTTCCCTTTGCCTTTAGAATTAATTATTATAATTTTATATGTCCTTACCCTGGAGATTAATTAAAAGTTGTGTGAATAAGTAAAACACATTGATAGGTGTAAAAAATTTTGAAAATAATAAATAAAATCAAAATAACTGGATATGTCATAGTTCATCTGACAACTATTTCATACATACAAATATAGAAGAGAAATTATGTTGAAACAATAATGATCACAAGTTGTGGTAGCAATCAATAACTTACGCCTAATATCCAGACTGTCGAGATATTCAGGATATATCATTAGAGTTTCCCATGTAGACTGACCTCGTGATCCACCACCCTGATATGAAAAAAGGGGTGAACATTTATGTAGAGAAGTTACAGGATAGGTATATATACATGCATGGTTTTACGAGTTGATCACGGACTGATATCAGTTAGAGAACCATTGAAAACCAGGGAGTACTGGACAGCTGCTGTTTCATCCTAGTTTGGTGGGTGCGTACTGCCGATGATTCCCAAACTAGGATGAAACAGCAGCTGTCCAGTACTCCCTGGTTTTCAATGGTTCTCTAACTGATATCAGTCCGTGATCAACTCGTAAAACATAACTAATCCTTACAAACCAAACTGTAGAAAACATGCATGGTTATTTTAAAATTGGTGTAGGCCATCTTATTGACTTCAGTCATTTGCTTCCATTCATCTTCCAAAACATTTTGGAATATTACTGAGAGTCATCATAGAAGTACAGTCAGCCCAAAGAGAATGTGATAACTCATGCAACGGAAAAAAACGAACTTTTAGCCTATACTGTCTCTGATAATAATAATAATAATGGAGTGAAGAGAAACTACTTTTAACGAAAACTAATAATATCACAGAAATCCTATAAAAACCATACATAACCGTTTTACGAGTTGGTCACGGATTGATATCAGTTAGAGAACCATTGAGAACCCGGGCATTACTGGACAGCTGTTTCATCCTAGTTTGGGAATCATCGACAGTACACACCCACTGGGGTTCAAACCCAGAATCTTCTAGTTACAAGGCAAGCTCATATACCATTCAGCCACTGGGACCCGATTCAATGGCCAGTGCATGAATTCTAACTTCTACCAATTCGTGATTTAGCGCCACCCCAACCAATGTCGTCGGTGGGAATACAAATTGGTAGAAGTTAGAATTCATGCACTGGCCATTGAATCGGGCCCCAGTGGCTGAATGGTATATGAGCTTGCCTTGTAACTGGAAGATTCTGGGTTTGAACCCCAGTGGGTGTGTACTGCCGATGATTCCCAAACTAGGATGAAATAGCTGTCCAGTACTGCCTGGGTTCTCAATGGTTCTCTAATTGATATCAATCCGGGATCAACTCGTAAAAACAAAACTAATCCTTACAAACCAGTTATAGGAAATATAGAAAACGATTAACAGTCAAATATTGAACCATCTGGTGCAAACCGGCCACAAAGCCAGCCAGCATTGAAGAATCCTTCTCTATAATCTACCGGGTGCCTAATAAATTGACAAAATCATCGAAGCACCGCATGCTCCAAACACCAGAGGCTATTGCAATTCACCTCAAACAACCAGTGCTTTGTGTTCAAAAGAAGCAAGTCTAGCCCCGACTACTGCCCTGGCCGGCCTTCAGTAGAGACTATAAATTCATGAATTTGTAATATTATCTTTCCTAATTTGTCTGATATTTGGCTTATTTTATGTTGATGGTATTGAGCTATAATCTATCAATATTATTGATTCGATGTTATTGAAACAACATTAATGTTGTTGTTAATAACACTAATCCATTCATTCACTATAATGTATATATAACTGTAGAGCCTGATGATGAAGAGGTTATCGAAAAGAGTACTCTTTGTTCAGTATCCATTCTTTTGAAAATATATAACTGTATTTTTTGTTCTGCATAACTGCGACTTGAAGTACTTCTGAGCATTTAATGGAATAAAGTTAAAATTTGTCTAAGATATTATTATCCCTTTGGAAAATCAATTAAAATCAACAAATTTGACATACAGAAATGAAAATTTGTAAAAAAAAAAATATATATGTAAATGTTTGTGAAACATACCGAAACTTGTGAAGCTAAACTAGGGGGTAATAAACAAAATGTGGTAATTCTGTTAGTGCCCATATTGAAATCCAGCCAGAAAACATCAGTTTTTCCTTGAGAAGCCTTAGGAGGTTCCAGCTGAAATAAAAAAATATATTAATAGATATCTGAGAGATATTATTCGTATGCTTAGGTGTCACTTTGTAATCACATAAGTGTTTTCAAACAGTGTGATTAAAAATTGGGATTACTTCTAGTTTTCCCATGTTGTTTGTATATTGAAAGAATGAGTATAATTAAAGCATATTGTTGAGAAACTGCACTTCAATTACTTAACATAATGGTAAATTTATTGCCGTTAGACGTTGGGATTTCCAGTGTAATTCCTCTGAAATCATTCATTGTGTCAGTTTTGATTCCTTATGAATCGATACTGAAGCGGACATACTGTAAAGCACTCAAGCTTGAGGAGAAAAACATCTCCAAAACATAAGTAAGATAAATTACAGATTCCTATGATACTTGGTTACTTCCACACGTATTAGTTAGCGAAACATAACAGTAAACTTAACTTCGACTCTGTTAAGAGCAACTAGTATAGTATTATTTGAGCTTCCTACAGTATTTCTACATATGATTAACTACCGTCATGATTATATGCGTATTTTAATGATTTTAGAAACTCGAACAAAGAATATGATCATGTTTAGTATTTGTGACGTGATAGAATGACAAGTTTGGAAGAGTATACATCGGTGGGATCTTTAAATTTAGCATGAAACATTAAGAAAGATGGAAAAGTGCAGTTTAATAGACACTGTCTTACAGACAATAAAGTTCAGCTGGTTTGGGAACCAGTGTAATCTCGCCTCCTGAAATCAATTTTATCCTATGTTGCTAGTTTAACAAAAAACCACATTTTTCATACATCATTTGAAGAGGGGCTTTTTTCTAACTTTATAAAATATTCTTCTCGGATTATTCAAACTCCTATAAGAAAACGATAGGAGATTTATTTTTGTCCATTAATAGTTCCAGTCTGAAAAGTTTTCATCGTGTCTGTTGTGTATGGAATATTGTGACTGGTTTGACTAAGCAATCATATTCCTAGCATTCAAAATATCCTCAATCCTAATATTTGCCACAATAATTTATTATCAAATAAAACGTATAAATCGAAAATGGGGATTAAATGAATTTGTAAGGACGGACTAACTACCTTTGTTATAACCTGTTTTGATGGGGTTTTCCAAGTCAATGAAGCCGTAATATATTTTGGCGACGAACGGACCCAAGTTCTAGTATAATTCATAATTTATGCACGTACGTCTAAGTATAAAAATTCCACTATACCATATTTAGCACGTACTTTATATGATGAAAATAGTGTCAGGCATGAACTAACTAACCTTCTTTGCACCACTAAATAAACTATTTCCTCGACCCTTAAAGCATCAAACTTTATTGTTATTGTATTTCTTATATTTATAATCCTCTCAATTTTTTGTTTTATTTTTTTTCATAAGTGTGGACATAATTTAAGCTGTATTATAACTGTTAATTTTGTATTTCCCCTCACTATACTATATCAACAGAACATTAGATCCAATAATCTATAACATGCTAAAGTTTCCAAACTGAATCGACAATACCGTTTCAAACAAACTCACTGTTATTATTATTATATTTAATAATCTCAATTCGTGCTTCGAATATTTTTGACTTTATATCGTAAACATGGACAAATTCCTCTGGTTAATTTTGTTTTAATTTTTAATTTTATTTCTATTTTGAGTAAATCAGATGCAATATTGTGACAAATGCTGAGAATTCCATTCTGTATTATAAGTACTGTTTTTGGAATAAAGTAGATTATTATTATTACTGTATCTAGACATGTTAATTTTCAGCTGAGCATTTTAATCATGTCCTTCAGCTTTCATCAAGTCCAGTTACTGTTACAACAGCGACCAGAAGCAGCATGAAGACTTCCTAGTGAAACTGATCGCAGTGTTTACCAGTAAATTATCTTTGCAGTTATCTATTCATTCCCATACAACAACAAGTATTGATTCTGTCATCCAATCAGCCACAGAAGTACAGAACAGTTTATCAGCCAATGAATTATTTGCACAGCTGGCTTTCAATGAATCTATGAACACTGATGATGAAAATCCAATCGAGAATCTGGATTGCAATAATGCATCAAAATCTAATGAAGGCACTATTTGTGCAAAACCATGAGATATGATTAGTTCTCCCATCTCAAAAGAGAAGGAAGAATTCTCTCCATTCCCCACTACTTCTAGAGATATTCTGGATTTAGTTGGTGAAATTTGTTGTGATATTTAATTCATTCCAAAGAATTTTAAAGATTTATGTTATCTTAACAACCGTCATGACTAGGATCTATTGGGCACTGAGTAGATTGATAAACTATCCTATTGGGAAATAATTTTTCGCAACATTGATTTTGATAAAATGATGCAAATTCTTCGTGGAATTTTTGAGGAACATACATCAGTATTCAGTTCTGTTCAATTTACAATATGATAACTTCTTTACATTTGCTGGTAGAGTCAATCATGTACCAAGCGAGGGTCCCACACTACTTCGAGGGGAAGGTATCATAAACGGAGAGTACCCAGACCTACAAATATCTTCCAGTGGTTTCCTGAATGAGAATTTATCAAAAAAGGTAGGTGTTATGACGGACTAACTACCTTTGTTAGCCGTGAATTTATGATTGATACATATGCTGATATAATAACCTGACTAGATAGTTTTTGATTGGTCTATTTCGGAGTTTCATCGAGGCCATACCATCAGTCAGATATTGATTATTATCTACTTATGGTTTAAATTTCCGTGGATGTGAAAACGACATATACACCCTGTATTTGGGATGATAAAAGTGGTTGTCGTTGTTGTAGCAGTTAAATCTGTGTTTTGTGTGATTAGTTGGCTATAGTGTCTTGTCTGAATGTGCACTATAGTCGAGTCAGAAAACAACCACAAATTCAGTAAAACTCCATCATAACAGAATTAAACATAGTACGTATTGAGCGGATATGCAGACCCCAATAGTTACTGAAATACTGAAATGTGCTATTAGAACATTAGCTTTATAGAGTGATCAAGAATAGTCGTTGTATCAGTCCTGTTTAGCAAACTGCACATAAACATGATAAGGAATAATAAAAGAAAACATGTGCAGTGAATACAAATAAAACTTTCTAGTTATACAACAAGATATTTAAATTTAAACTCACTTTTAAATCACACAGCTTCAGGGATTTGCATGGTAAAGAGACTACGCTAAAATAATTTACATTTATAGTTAAGAAATAAAACTTCATACCTTGGATCAACAATTTTAAAGCTGTTGATTGTGTTCAGGAATGATCGGGCTTGCTTTAAAGGTGATAAATTCAAAAAACAAAACAAAGTTATATTAGCAGATGAAGATTTTTTTTCTATACAACTTAATTTTTACAACAATAGAAAATTCAAATCACTACGGAGATTTATCTGGCAACTTCATACTATTAAATTTGATTTTCTGGAAAGAAATCTTCGATTCTCTGAACCTGAGAATTTTCATTTTGGCTGGAGGATTTCATCAGGAGCTGACATCAGTTAGAGAACCATTAGGAAACCTGGGAGTACTGGACAGCTATATCGTGAATTGGCAAAAGTTAGAATTCATGGCCTGGCCACTGGATCCGGTCCCAGTGGCTTAATGATCTACGACCTCGCCTTCCAACCAGAAGGTCCTGGGTTCGAACCTGAGTGAGTGGTACCGATGAAGAGTCCCGTACTAGGACGAAACAGCTGTCCAGTGCTTCCAGGCTTTCCAATGGTCCTCTAACTGATGTCAGCTCATGATGAAATCCTCCAACCAATCAGACAAAATCCCTACAAACCAATATCTGAAAGTTTGATTTTGCTGAATAACTTCTAAGCCCCTTTAACTTGTGATTTTAACTTTCAATTTCCATGTATTAACTATCTGCATAAGTTCTTTGTATCACAAACTAAGTGACTCATGCAGTTTTCTTAGGGTTTGTTGAAGGCAGATATGAATATTTCAACTAAAACGTAGATTAATTTCCAGTAAGTGCTATAGAAATACACATGTTTAAATTATTCGGATGAATAGAAACATATGATCGATCTAGTTGGTTATAGTAGCTAGTGTATCAAATATTTTTCTCCGTTTAACTAACAATAACACTGGCTATGAACCAAACATATCAGTAGTACTGACGACGTTCAGTCATCGGTATCGTTTCGAGTACTTGAAGCTTGAATAACACTGCAACAGCATTTCTGTTTTGTGAGCCAACTGCTTTTTTATGACTATGTTTAAGTCGAAATTCCTGTCTCATTTAAGAGTAGCAGATACGATACGACCCAGAGACGACAGCAGATATGCTGACTCCATTATTGCAAAAGATCTGGAAAGAGGGAAAGGTGCCTACTGACTGGAGGAAAGTTTACCTCGTGAAACTACCAAAGAAGGGCGACCTAGGACTCTGCAAGAACTGGCGAGGAATCATGCTCCTGTCGACGCCAAGTAAAATCCTGAGTCGCATCATCCTGGAGAGGATGAAGGACGCACTGGATACAGAACTCCAACCAGAACAAGCTGGGTTCAGGAAAGGCAAATCATGTTCTGACCAAATTGCAACTCTACGCATCATCACCACAGAACAAAGCATGGAATGGCAATCAAACCTCTACCTCAACTTCATAGACTTTGAGAAGGCCTCCGACAGCGTTGACCACGAAGTAATTCGGAAACTACTCGAGTACTACGGCGTACCCCAAATATTCATCAACCTTATTCAACAACTGTACGACAACGGCACATGTCAAGTGATACACAACGGAAAACTCAGCGAGGAGTTTACAGTAAACACAGGAGTCAGACAAGGGTGCTTATTATCACCAATGATATTCCTAATTGTGGTGGACTGGATTATGCGTCAGACAGTGGGAAAGGAGAAGACAGGGATATCCTGGACCGACGTGAAGAACCTAAAAGACCTGGATTTTGCAGATGATTTAGGTGTGATGTTACATAAAATCGAAGACTTACAAGCGAAAACCGACAAACTGGTCGAAGAGGCTGGCAGCAAAGACAGGACTCCAGGTGAACATAGACAAGAGGCAGGTTATGAAAATAACCAACCAACCAACAACAACAGCAGCAACAGCCAGCGCCAATCACCATCAACGGGAGGGATTTGAAAGAGGTTACTTCATTCACTCACTTATCTAGGGAGCATTGTCTCAACTACAGGAGGAACGGACGAGGATGTCAAATCGAGAATCGGGAAGGCGAGAAACACATTCATCAACCTGAAACCAATCTGGAAATCTTCGTCACTCCTCGACATCAACAACAACATTCGGATTTTCAATACAAACGTCAAGTCAGTCAGTTCTTCTGTATGGATGGATCAGAAACTTAGCGGCTGGTCACAAAGAATATTTCCAACAGCCAGTTGCAGACCTTTATCAACAACTAACTGTCTTCGCTGGCTCTATGCTGAAGATCAAATGGCCGGAAAGAATCACCAACAAGAAACTATGGGAACAAACAAAACAAGAATCAATCGCTCAACAAATATGCAGGAGAAACTGGAGGTGGATTGGACACTCGCTGACAAGGCCACTGGGTGACATCGCGCATCAGGCCAACGCTCGAGTGGAACCCTAAAGGGAGGCGGCGAGTGGGACGTCGGAAGGGTGACATGGAGGAGATCGTGTGAAGAAGAGTTGAAACAGTATGGACTAACATGGATGCAAGTGAAAAGTATAGCAGAAGACAGAAGCAAGTGGAGGCGTGCAGTTGAAGCCCTGTGTTCCAGTAGGAATCCAAGGGAACAATAATAATAATAGTTACGATACATTTAATATCTTGTTTGATAATTTGCTTTGTGACACTAGTTGTCATACTTCTGAAAGCAAACATAAAAGTAAAGTGAAGAAATGCAATGAAACTAAATTAAACAAAAAAAAAGGTACAGGAGACTCGCGATACACATTTTGTAACTTGAAGCGTCACGCAGATTTTGACCAAGCTTCCACTTGTTAGTAGTTTTCGGAGATAGACTGTTTAGCACCTACCTGTGAGACAACCTGACTTACTATTTTGTGACCAGTGTACATTTGTAAACAGAAAGTTAGAATGTCTGCCAATTCCGAATAAGGCTGATTTACAAAGTCTTTCTGAAAAAGCTTTTTGATAAGTCAGTCAGTAATGAATTTTCAATATAAGGTAACTTCGTCAGGGTAATGCCATTACTTGAAATTTACATAAATTGGGGTTAGCAAAGACTAAAAAAATTTACAAGGAGACAAATTTAAACTTCTAAGCTTCTCACTTACTCTTATTCAATCGTTAGATACTGTAACTTTCGTATGCAGTCATCCGTTTCGAACATTTGAACTTTTGAAATATACAACAGTGATTTCAAAATATATCGCTCAAAGTTTACATATTCGTATTCTTGTTTACTATGGACAATGATTATATCTGACGTCACGAAAACCACCAAGTTGGTAAAAGAGGCAAGTAGTGAAGGCAACACTTCAAGTGAACATAAAGAAGACAGAGATGATGAAAATATCCAATCACCACCACCAACAACAACAACAACGAGCACCAATCACTATCAACAGGAGAAATTTGAAAGAGATCATTACTTTCATCATTTCATGCACAGGCAGACAGCACGGATGAAGATTTCAAAACCAGTATCGGGGAAGCAAGACAGACCTTTATCACTCTGAAATCAGTGTGGAAATCTTCTGAACTAAGCATCAAGAACAAACTTCGGATTTTCAACACCAATGTCAAGCCAGTCAGTTCTTCTATATGGGTCAGAAACTTGGCCAGCTTGTCACGAGCCGAATTTCAACAGCCTGCAAAGTTTTGTCAACAGCTGTCTTCAGTGGCTGTATACTGAAGGTCAGATGGAGAGGAAGGTTAAGCGATAAGAACCTCTTGCCCAACAAATATACTGAGGAAACTAGAGATGGGTAGGACACACGCTGAGGAAACCGTTGAATGACGTCGTGTACTAGGAAGTCCCTTGAGTGGAGCTTGAATGGAAAACGACGAGCGGTGCGTTAGTCCTAGGGTGACATGGAGGAGATCGAATGAAGAGGCGATGAGAGCCTATGGGCAGTCAAGAAGCCAGTCAAAGAAAGCTGCAGAGAACATGGTGAAATATAGATGTACTGTTAAAGCCCTATGTTCCACATGGAACCCAAAGGAATAATAATGATAAAAGACAGTGATAATGCGTGAAATGTTGAGGATTATAGACGGTGGAATAAATGACTAACCATAAAAAATCTAACGATTATCTTGCATAAATATTAGACTTATGCCAATCATTTGGTAAGAGTCATTCCGTTAACAGCTACTTACACAAACACTTTCTAACCTGCAACATACTTAGTATTGAGTAAGCTTGCGTTAGACAACAAAAAGAAAGACACAGAGATGATAGTCACAAATCACACTATTATAAAGATGAAAGATTAAGAATTCAAGAGAACCTAGATGCAAAATAAAACGAGAGGTATGTCAGCAGCCGTATACATCAAAAACTGCTGCTATTTTACTGGAATAAGTGCGCAGGGAACTTTCACCTTGAAAACAGAACTCGACTACAGTTACAGTCAGAAATTTCGTCACCGGGTTCGAAACCGGTGACTAGGAGAAAACAGCTGCCCTGTACTCCCTGGTTTTCAATGGTTCTCTAACTGATATCAATCCGTGATCAAACTTGAAATAAATTAAGTATTTCGACAAATGTAAGTAAAGTATAAACAAGAACCAATCGCCCAACAAATATGCAGGAGAAAGTGGAGATGGATTGGACACTCGCTGAGGAGGCCACTGGGTGACATCGCGCGTCAGGCCAACGCTCGAGTGGAACCCGAAAGGGAAGCGGCGAGTGGGACGTCCAAGGGTGATATGGAGGAGATCGTGTGAAGAAGAGTTGAAACAGTATGGACTAACATGGATGCAGGTGAAAAGTACAGCAGAAGACAGAAGCAAGTGGAGACGTGTAGTTGAAGCCCTATGTTCCAGTAGGAACCCAAGGGAACAATAATAAATATAATAATAATAAGTAAAGTATAGAATTTGTGTGAATGTTTTGATAATGCTATCTGTGTAATCAGGTGTAACTGGAATAACTAGCGTTTTGTCATATCTCCATTAATCTACTTCATTCCTTTGTATGTATACTTTTTTTTCTACAAGCAAATGACCTGGAAATATACATTAAGAACAAGATATGATAAACTCTTGATTTTCTTGTTTATTGAATTAAGTCTAACTGATTCGTTTGTCAGACTAACACGTAGAAACTGGCATATATATATTTGTGTCAACGTATCTCACAACGACTCAGAAAAGAGATGGAATAAGAAGTAGAATGATACGAAAAATAAGTAAGAGGGACATGAATAAAGACGACTAAATGGAAGTTAGTTAGTGGAATTTTTCAGACTTTTAGAAGTGATCGCTTTGTGTAATAATACACCATTGGCCCGAATATCTAAATGCAGAGTTTCAAGTGGAACGAAAAGGTGAGGCCTTGGTTTTAATACAAGCCACAATTACACCTTGAATATGAAATATAAAAACACAACCAAATGCCAGAGAGAAGCAGTACAGATCAAGATAGATAGTTAAAGTAATAAACAAGCTAGGTACAATCCCATTCAATCTTTGTCGTATGCATGTATCAACAAATGTTGAGCATCTGAAACCCTTTGAGATGTAAGAAAATGCAATCCCTATGATTGATTCCAGTAAAATTCAAAATTACGACGTTGGTGATATGGAGAAAAATAGTTATACTCAAACCCACTAAAAGAGTATTCAGAACTGACCATTGAATAGTTAAAAACGCCAGATTCTAGAAAGCCACTAACAGAACTTTAGACCAATAGGCGAAAATCAGCAATTCTAACGATTACTCCAAATCAGTTTTCAAACGCTGAGGCTTGATATCAAAGCTACCTGTTTCATAGATTCCTAATTTCACTCTTATGTATATTATTTCATAAGGGTTTGAAATTCACGTACTAATTATGAAATTGTAAGTCACAAAATAATAAACTTACGAATTCAAAGTCTTCACCTCCCATTTTTGAGAATTCTCGCGCAACTGCTGGATATCCTTGGATGATATAAGTTGATGCAAATTCCAAATGTTGTTTGAGTGGAACCAGCCTGATTAGGAGTGCTGACGAGTGAACTTGAAGATCAAAATCACCTATGTTTTGTAACTTAGATCCAAAAGTAGAACTTCACAGATTAGGTTTAATGATCAATGTCAGAAAAAATACAGATAGACTTACATGGCTGCTTTCAATTTAGAATCATCCCAAAGACTATTTCGTTCTTCCCTTCGTATAGCAGCAACCAATAAATTTAGAGAAATGACCACCTACGAAGGAAATAAAATAAATGCCACGTTTTGAAGATTGATTGAAATCAACATTAAAACGCTAAAAAATAAAGTTCATAAAAATTCACGACAAAAGACCAGACTGTGATTAGCTACATTGCACTACAAAGTCCTGAAATATCACTATCACAAATATCCAAATGTAAATCTGACAAACGACATCAATCTTATTAATTTCCTAGTTAACTATACCAAGAGATAAGATGGGTAACCAAAAACGAATTAAGCAGAAATCAGCAAAGGGAACATCAAACGATTAAAAATAGAAATGAGAGTGGTCAGAGGAGATGAAGTAATCACAACAAAAACCATACAATACACGTTACAAAAGGAATTTCTGATATTACATTGTAGACGTCGGGTGAAAGATAGTTATTGACCAGCAGATGACTTGAATAGTAACTTTTTCCACTCAAGATAACTACATATATATATACTTCCTTTTCACCAAATGATTCCTTATAAATTCACAGGTTATCTCAATTAAGCTATCAGCATAGCATCAATTCAGGTTATCACACTTCGTAAAACCACACATAAAAGCAGATAAAGATGTATGGGAAGGGGAATAATTAGAGATAGATTGGTCAGGCTACTTGGTAAAACAAGGAGTAAAACGTCTGTGACACTGCAGATGATTTTGAGCAATAGCATCAAGTCTACAACTGTTGATTCTTAGCATTTCGTGGATTCCAGAGGAGGAGTCTGGATTACCAAACACAGCTTAGGTGGACAACCAGACATTTCATGGATTAGTGACGTGGTTTCTTCTAGCGAAACCTGGCTCTTTTCCAATATAATCCTAACATCCGTCACTTAGGAAGATTATGGCTAGGCATATATTAAACATAGCTGGATATCAATGCTGTATCAAAGTTGACACAAGCTAACAAATACAAAACCAGCCTTTTGTATCACTATCGAGTTACCTGCATTAACGTCGCTTATATTTACCTTAAAGTAGCAACTGCGAAACCGAATGATTGAAAGGAAAAGCTATAAGTATCTAAAAAACGAAATGAATTGAAGGCAGTTGTTCTAATCTTTCATCTTACCAAATATATTTTACCACATCAATGTTGTTGCACAACATGAACTGAAAGTTAAATTTCAATGTTAGTTTTCACCACAATAACCAACACTTTGCAGTCAATTTCGCGTAAGTTGTGTTACTTAAAAGTATTTTTCTGCTAAACATACTTGTAACAAGCTGATTAGGATTACCGTAACAAACAGTAGTTGTGTTACGTATTACCATTAGCGTAATGATTGCAACTAAAGACTGAATATGCCACGTCGAAACTGCCATATATAATTCCCTTGACAGCGTGTGAGCAGCTTAAGATATTTTTTAAAGGTAAAAAAGATTTATGAGCGCATATCTCAAACTGACTTTGAACGCTTCCTAGCTTCACTTGCAACAATCGACCTATTTCGTGTTTCATTTTCATGTTTGCAGGGCGATTATTGCAGCCAGAGTAACAGAAAAATGCAAATTATAAAGTTCAAGTGGTTTGACATATTATTAAGTTCTCAGATAGCTATATGCGTTGAAAATTAGTCAAAATGCCCTTAAAAACCACTTTTTAGTAAAGATAATTAACAAGCTCAATTTTCTGAAAATCAAGAGTTACGATAAATGATGTTACATAAAACTACTAAATTTAACTTAGCCACGATAACTCTTATCAAATGAAAAGTGATCTTGTTCTTGCTAAGGCCTATCTGTCACCAGTACTTACAAAAAAGCAGTGAAAACCAAATCACATAATTCTCTAGAAGTTTTAGTTCAGGCACTATGTATGATCAAATTATCATGTTCCGTCCTTATAATTTAAGCTCAGATAGCCTAACTATAATAATGACCACATAACTTAAGAACTTCCAAAATATGTTTATGTGCTATAAGTGACACCAAAACTTTCACAATATCTTACGCCTTAATATATCATTAATTCAAGTGTTGATATGTATAAACAGCTTAATGTATGCATATGGTTTAAGATGAAATACAGAGATTCTGAAATTATTAGTTGAGCTGTTAGAAAGTGGATGCGCATTCCTGTTTCTAAGTTAAATCCAAACAATACAATACGCTGAGTTAAAAATAGTAAGACTACTTGTAAACTGAGTATACTAGAATTAGTTGAAAACAAGGAAATCAGAGCGCTGGAGAATATATAGTACATTTCAAATTGAGGCTGAGGTGTAACTCATCATCTCTTGTGCCATATTTTCAGGATTTTCTGACCATTTAATTTGGGTGCATCATAAACACTCTCGAAAATGCCTTCACTTACAGGCATAGCTTAAATTAACAGTACACTGAAAACTAAAAACACATCACGGGGAGAATTGCATATTCATACAATTTTATACAGTAAAGTGAGTGATCAGAAATAATTGAGCCATGATTATACAAAATGGACCCATTATTCAGCCGATAAAGTTGATTTCAAAGAAGATAATGAGGGTTTCGAGGTCATTAGGTTTATTTTGAAACAAAAAGATTAATTAAGAATATAGGGCAACTAAAAAATACAAGATAACTAACACCTGAAATATTGAAATTCCTTCAATCACTTTTATTATCATCATTAAAGCATATGATCCCAAGAGCATAGTTGTTAATAATCATTTAGAACTCAAGGATGAAATAACACTAACCCTATTAAATACTTGTAATAGTGTTTAAAAACATTCCCAGCTAACTGCCTTTATTAACACAATCATGTAATACCTAATTCACGACGGATCTCGTCACAGAAATGCACTTCAGGCACAAATAAAATACATGAATAAAACACTAACTATCACACTGTCAACGTCTGCAACCATCTTCACAGACTTATTTATCGGATTCCTACTTTCAGACTGACTTTCTTATGAAAAACTAAGCTACTCTTTTTGACGTCGTTATATGGATTATCTTTTACAGAAAATTCCAGGCAATAAATACATATTACAGTTTATTGGTTATTAACCTCAATTCTGAGTCGGTTTCCAGGGTTATTCTCAGCAAGTGAAGATGAAAACAACTCATAGAACTTTTACTTAAATATTTCATTTGTTAAGTACCACGGAATTATGAAGGCAGAGTTAAACTAGAGTAGCTGCCTTGATGCATGAACTTCCACTACTAAAAAGACTTACAGTGGTGTAACCTAGTCAAATTAAACATACATTGAAAGAAAGGCATAATCTGTCTTAGTTATACCTTCTTTAAATCTAAATGACTGGCAAAAGTCATGCACCAATTTCGCTACTGCGGTTTAACTTCGTCATAATGATTTTGAGAAACGAACTTACATCGAAACGTGCCACCAAGTTCCATGTACCATCCAGAGCTATTTCAAGCATACGAATCAGAAAACGTCGGACGATACGGTAGGCGACTTCGAAGGTCAGAATTATTTCATATTCTTACCTGATGAGGAAATATCCGCTAGAGGCTACAAGAGAAAAAATAAGAGGTTTTAGACTATTTAATGGCATCGGGTACCTGTAAAACTTCATCCAAGACTTTTTTCATAAGTGTCTCTGGTGAACCCTCCTTAAAATTTAGAGTCTCCTCAAAAAGGTGGTCTTTATCGATTATAGCACAGAATGAACATACCACAAAGTAGGAGTACTGAATCAAACTGTTTGACAGCATCTTCAGTGTTACTGCGAATGGCGTTCCCAACGCACATAATGAGGTCTCTTAGTTGATAATATTCAAAATTTTCCGGATAATCAAAATCTCTCAGAATATTCCTCAAATTTCCATCTTTAAAGAGGTCAGATGGTTGACTGTTGAGAGAAGCCAGTCTGGAAAACTTCTCCATTTGCCGGCAAACGATTTATTGCGCACAAGGTGAGACAGCTTCCAAAACTAAAACAAAGTGGAAAAGACTTTAGTTGGAAAACATAGAATAAACATCTAAACATAGCTATAAAATTCATAGATTTGTTTATCAATAATTCCGAAAAATCATTAAGCATTCTAGTTCTCGGGCCTCATGATACTTCTTTTCCTCAACCAGATTTGGAATTTCAGATTCAGATTCATTGATTGAGGATAGAAGGCTTGGAGCCTATGTTGATCCTTTTCTGGTAAATTTCTTTGCTTGTCCAAACTATTCTTGAATGAATCAGTTGACGTTGCACACACCACTTCTTCTGGGTGTCGGTTCCAACAGTTTATGACTCGGTTTGAGTACCAGTACTCAACAGTAATATGATTTCCTCTTGGCTTTTGAACTCTCCTCCTATGTCCTCTGAGGTTTTCCGACCTGGTGAGAAGGGAAAGAGAGAATGGGTCAGCTCCGTGGTCATCATTTACAATTTTAAATACTGTAACTAAATCTCCTCTCTGCTTACGATATGATAGGAAGAAGAGATATTACCTATCGAGTCTTTCCTTATATGATAAATTAGTCATGCCAGGAATCATAAGTGTTGCCTTCCTCTGAAACCTTTCTAGAATATATGAGTCCCCTTTAAGACAATGTCTGGCTCCCTGGACAGTTTCTCAGTCTTGACTTCACCAGAGATATTTATAATGAGTTGAACATATCCCTGATGATTCCATTAAAGGCTCTACGAATTGTCCATAAGAATGTGAAAGTACGTGCAGCCACCGCGCGACAATCTGCTGTAGTTTTTAAGTCATGACTTACTATGACACCTAAATCTAAATGAGTCTGAACTGACAGAGTTTTATTTCCTCTAGTTCGTAGAGGCTGACGCTTGCATGTTCAATGCGCATGGTTGCACATTTCGCCACAGTGATCGGGAGCATCCATTTTCTGGACCACTCTGACAATTTGTTAAGATCTTCTTGCAAAGTATGCGTATCACTGTCACGCTTCAGCTCCCTCCAGATTTTTCAGTCATCTGCGTATAGGACCATTGGGTAATCCGTGAGCACAGACAACTCCTTTACATAAAGAATAAATAGGAGAGGTCCGAGTACTGTGCCATGTAGCATTCCTCTACGCACTGTTGATCAGGAGGAGAGATTTGGGTTGATCCTGACTCTCGGCTTCCCATCTATTAGGATATTTTTAATCCAATTTAGTAACGTGCCTTTGATACCAAGACTTTTCAGCCTCTCGAGCAGTCTTTTGTGAGGTGCTTTATCGAGGGCTTTGCTGAATTCTATGGGACGACGTCAACGGGTCTTTTGTTGTCCTTGGACTTGACCCAGCCTTCTCTTGCAGTGAGAAGACTTGACAGGCATGAGAGGTTTCCTCGGAAGCCATACTGTGCTCTGGATAAGAAATTGTTGTTTTCTAGATATGCCGTGATAGCTTTCATGATGATTCTTTCTAGTGTCTTGATTAAGGAGCTGATGAGACCAATAGGCCTGTCGTTTGAAGGGCTTGGTCTTCATTCTGCTTTGCGGATGGGCGTTACTCTGAAGTCTTTCCAGTCACGCAGAAACACTCTATTTAGGAGGGATGGCTTGAAGATCTTGGCCACTGAACCGGCTATGTGAGCTGATAGCTCCTTGAGGAGCCTTGGATGAAGATTATCAGGACCCATTGATTTCCCTGCATCTAGTTTCTTTGGGCAGTTGAGCATGACGTCTTCGTCGACCTCAGCAGTGTCTAACCCGTGTTCCTCTGATGCAGCCGTTGCTGATCCCATGGGGAGGGACGACTCTTGGGAGAAGTAGTCCGCCATTGCTTCTGCTTTTTTGACCCTCTTTGGTCATATCGTTGTCAACAATCAGGCTTGGGACACCATTGGATGTCTTATTCCTGAAGTTCATGTACAAGAAAATTTTCTTAGGTAGTGCCGTTGCATTTTGAGCCAGATGTGTTTCGAACTTATTCCTTGATTGGCGAATTTCTCAATAACTTTGTTCTTAGCGTCGTCGTATAGCCTCTTGGTCTCAGGAGTCTCAATTTTGGTAGACAGGTTCCGGCATTTGAGTTTAAGTTTAAGT